GGAACATGGTTCGTTGCGAGCTTGTCTGAGGAATTCCGGAGCTTTGGATTTTTGGACGTCTCTTTCGTGGTATCTAGCGGTATGCGCTTTATGTTGATGCCGATGACATGGTTAGCACAGATAACCGGACGACAACAACAACTTGCAATTGTTGGGCGCTGGTATGGTTCTTCTTTATTTCTCCATGTTCTGTAAGTCATGTCATGACAGTTTCTGTCTTATTCATATCATTCGACGCCTCTATGTTAGCATTCCGTTGGACATCAAATCAAGCTCTGGCCTTATTTCTGCGGGAAAAATATCCAAGAACCTTTGCCTTCCGGTATTACTGACTATGGACTTCGCAACTTCTATGACTGGGGATCGTCAATTTGACGCCCTAAGAAGGCTTTTAATCACCTCATATCGACATGAGCGATGGCCAGCTAACAAGTTCTCATCCTATATTAGGGCTTCAATGGCCAGCGATGTCTCGGGGGCACCCGAACATTTCCAAGGCATCTGTAGTGAGGTAGTTTGAAACCTCGGGAGAAAGACTGACGCCGACCGGTTTTATCTGCATTACCATAAAAAATGTCCTCCAGTCACATACGCGGAGAACGCCCACTTCCTATGGCGTCTCTCGTGTATATCGTATACTAGATTATTCTGGTAATTCATGTATGACTGTATTCCTATAAGGGGTAATTCGTGACAAGGAGCCAGTAGCTTTCTGGCAGATTTAGCTCTGCGCTGTCTGCGGATTCACGTTCGAGCACATGCCCTATCTTTATTTTACTTTTTATTTTTTTTTCAATTTGATAAAAAAAAAATCAAGATCTTGGAATAATAACCAAAACTCAAGCTGCATTGGGCATAAGCTCAACCATTAAGTAGCAAGTCCCTTGTAGCTGATCGCTTTGCGAGCCCGACTCTAGGCTATGCAGATAACTGCGAGTGGATGTCCATCATTTTGGGCCCATTTCGCGTGCTTCGTGTACGTTGTGTATGGAGAAATTTGTGAAAAGTCGCCTGTGTAGCCTCTGTCGTCTTTTCTCTAGGGACAGCTTATGCTTAAATTAGGGCTTTCGTTTATCACGGCTCGCTAGTTCGTAGTCAATGAATCCATTGGTATTAAGAACCATATCAACCTGGGTCCGGATTTGGTGTCATTGATGTATATGAAATGAGAGGTCCCTAAAGTCCCATATAATCCCAGTCGTTTCCAACAGCTCCGAGAATCCTCACGCCATGCGTCGCGGATCTCCGTGTATGGCACCCATGCCACTCTTTGTCGCCAGTGATCAGCGCTGAAGAACCCCACTGCTCTGGGCCCACTGAATACCTGGTGTATGTGGGCATAGTGGCATAATGGCATTTGGGCTGGGCGCCAGTCATTCTCTGCCAGGTTAAAAATTCGAATCTGTCCGGCACGTTGCGGCCTCGGGTTTTTTACTGGCCTTGAAGGCACGCTTTTCGGTCCTCGATCTCGTACTCGATAAAGTAGTCGGAGTCTGTGGAGACGAACATCCAGCCTAGGTTTAGCATGTCGTCTAAGAGAATGTGACATGTAGCGCATGAAGTCATACCGTTTTCGTAATCTGCGATTGGGAATGATGTGGATGTAGACACTCTGTTGTTATATTCGTTAGAGGTTGGTAGTCACTTTTATCATAGTCGGCTAGTGGAAATGAATACCTTCGCGTCACCTCTGGGAATTATATGGGCACATTGCAAATTCCTTCTGACCCTGTCGCACGCCCAGCATGTGTCCTTCGACATTCTGTCAGAAAACAGTCCCATATACAGAAGTTTGTCTCAGTGTTCTTGTCTTGTCGACAAACCACCAAAGATCTCTTTCTCGAAAAATTGCAGCGATGAAGGCTTGTAGCTGCTCAGATTATTGTCTGAGATAACAATGATGTTGGTTGATTGTATCTGAGGCCTGGACTTGGGCGAGTCAACATATCATATATCACCACGTTTTTGTGTTCTTGAACTTACATGGGGTTATCTCATACTGCTTCCTGAGATTATTATGTTTCCCTTTTGGTGTATGTTATAGGCAAGTACGCCACTGCTCTTCATTCCTCTGCTAGCTATCCATTTGAGATACTCCTGTGAACAAGTGTGGGTGATTGACATCAATCTCACTTTTTCTACGCTTCTGTGTAAAGCTAGAGCGCGGATGACGGAGAGCGTAGGAGGGGTTTGATATGAAAATAAGCACAAAGAGATGGGAAAGTGAATGGGAACCTGAGCAAGTGAATGCTCTATATTTGCTATGGCTAACGGCAACATGTAGAGCGCATCAGGAAATTTCTTGAGTCTGTTATACTTTTAGAACAGATAAGTTTAGAGCATGATTGGCCTCATTTAGCAAAGGTAAAGAGTCGTTCAGTTTGATTTCTATCCAAGTATCCATATACATGCAAATATACCCATTCCATTCCTTCTATATGCCATTACTACTAAGAGACAATTTACCTCCCCTCTGCCTTCTCAACCAACCCCTCGTCCAACCCAACCGGCTCCCAAATCTCCTTCGCCTTCTTATTCTGCATCCAAACTACATCCCCTTGGATGAACGCAACAACGCCACCACGCCCAGTAGCACTGGCCGTAATGCGGAACAGCGGCTGCCCGTTTTGCGGATGCGCCTCGCGGAGCGGGATGATGAGGAGGCCTTGTTCGGCGCTCCAGTTTTCGAGGATATCCTTGAAGGCGACTTCCTCGACCACGCGGGGCTTGCGAGTTTCTGCTGGTGGTGGTTGTGTGGGTTGGGCTTGGGGTTGAGGTTCTGGGGCGGCGGATGGTTGTTCTGTTGGTGGGGGAAGTTCGGTAGCGGCACGATCGCCGAGGCGGGATGCGAGGTCCATGGTTTGTAGACCCTTCTTCCATTCGTCGTCGACGATGGCGAGTTCATTGGTTTCGCGCGGGATTTGTGACCGCCACCAGGAGAACCACTCGCCGACTTCTTCGTAGTTGGGATCGTTGGTGAGCCAGATGTAGAGGATGTAGTGCCATTTGGGGAAGAATTCTGCAACGAGCAGGATGCCCAGTACGTTGGGCGCAAACCAGTCCTTCCATTTGAAGACGTCTTCCAGTGGCGTTAGGTCCTGGTCTTGCGGGTTGACTTCGAAGTCTTCGCGGAGATGGCGACCCAGACGCGGGAGGAGATGATTGCGTAGACAAACGTCGAATTCGGACCCCAGGGCAGCTTTCCATAGCTCCACGCCGCTGACGACGCCTTTGCGGAGGTCCCAGGTATCCAGAACGACGCGGAATTTGCGCTTCGCGTCGGACATGAGCCCTGTTGGTTGTTTGGGGTTTGTGTGTTTTTCGTCGAGGTATTGGAGCCATGTGAAGAGCCACCAGGGGAAGCGTGAGCTGTGTTCTGAGGATGGATGTCGTCGACTGCTGCGCGGCTTCCATTGTTTCAGGCCGCCGCTTAGCTTCGGGACGATTTGTTGATCGAGAAGGTTAGCGTATACAAATGATGGGAGAGCCTCTTTCCACGAGACGACCAGCGTCGTGGCCGGGCCCGGGTCGAATACATCCCAGTCGTTGAGAAGTGCGGAGCGCACACGGGGTAGCCATAAGGTGTAGATCATGGTTTCGTAGGGTGATGTTGATGACCGGGTTCTGTGTTCGTCTTCGCCCTTGCGAGACAACAAGGGCTGGAGACGACGTAGATGTGATAGTAGGAATGTTGGGTCCTGCAGAGGTTCCCACTCTTCCATCGCCTGGCGGAAGAGAGGATGGATCGCGGCTACTGCCGTTTCTGATAAACGATATTCGTCGATGTGATCGTTATATTTGACTTGCAGTGCTTCGAGCTTGCTGGTGACTTCCTCGAACTTCCCTGCAATGCTCTCATCCTGGAAGATCTCCAGCTGCCCAACGGCTGTAACCAGCTCCGTGAATTGATCGATCTTTTGCTGGTTTGTGTCCAGCTGATCCACTAATTGTGCCTCCTCCATCTCAATATACTTTTTCCGTTCTGTCAAGCCTTTCCATTCATCGGCGAAAGCTTCTAAATCGTGTCGGGCCCGTCGTGCAATCTTCGCAGCCTCCCCTTCGCCTGAGCTCACAAACTCTTGCTGGGCCATTAACCCGGCTGTCGAGGTCAAGACTTTCTGCTCCTTCCCGGTTGCATCAATCAAAGACTTGAGCACATTCGGAACTTCCAGGCCATCCATGTCCTCCTCGATCTCTCGAGCCGTGCGGAACTTGGGTTTTGCAACACGAGGAACCGGGGTACCTGTCTCACTGCGCTCCCCTGCTCGTTTGCGCGCTTCCTTCTTCTTCTGTCGTCGCTTCCGTTCCTCATCCGAACTATCTTCTTCCACTTCTTCTCCCCGTAAGGCGGCGGCCCGTTTCTCCTCCTCTCGAGCTTGTTTCGTCTTCTCCCGGACCGCACCCAAACCGATACCCTGCGGACGAGCCTGCGCCTCAATCGGATTGACAATACCCTGGCCGCCAGATCCTAGACCTTGACCTTCTTTATATCCCATCTTAGCCATCATGCGCGCCGCGAACGAGTTGGCGCCTTTTAACCCCCCGGTGGAATTTCCGCCTCCCGGAGCGGGGGTGGCTGCCTGCATCATGGGATTTCGACGGGCTCCTAAGCCAGATGGCGGAGGCGATTCGGATCGAGATGAAGCTTTCTTGAAGCCGCGAAAGCTCGTCGCAGGGCGCGCATCGTCTTCGTCGGAGCTCATGTCGGCGATCTTGCGTTTCTGGCCGCCGAAAGACGAGTTTGAGGGGGATTCCATGGCCAGCAGATGCTCTAGTATAGCGCTACCTTCAGCGCAGCATCAAGATAAACATACAGAGTACAGTCGTGGAAGTCTCTTGGCATGGGGTTAGTAACCGCGTCGTCAATATCGGCCAACGGTCCATCGGAAGGCGGAGAAATCAAGATCCCGAGCCCCGAGCAACAATGACGTTTTCGTCCGGTTACTTTCTTGTCGCTCTCTGCTCGCTTTTTATTTCCGTTCTTCCTTTCCCTCTTTCTTCTTTCCCTCCATTGCTCTCTCTCTCTCTCTCTACACACACCTTCTCATATACCCAAAAGATACCCCATATACCACACATCATGGCTGCTTCTCTCTTCCGTACCTCTACCCGCGCTGCCCTCCGTTCTGGAGCTTCGGCTACTCCCAGAGCTGGCGTTGCGGGCTTGACTTTTGCCCGGGGCAAGGCTACTCTGCCTGATCTGTCGTGTAAGTATTGGCTTATTCTGTGATTGCATTCTGTCTTGATCCTGGGCCATTGGGCATAGCAGGAGTGATTCCCCGCTATCATTTATGTGGGATGGATCCTCCATGTTCTCGGCGCCCACTGGATTTTTAATCTGCCCCTCGATTGGCGTGATGGCATAGCAATCCTGTTTACGCAACGGTCTAACATGTCTACTCAATGCAGACGACTATGGTGCTCTGGAGCCTGCCATCTCCGGTCAGATCATGGAGCTTCACCACAAGGCTCACCACAACACCTACGTCAACAACTACAATGCCGCCGTTGAGCAGCTCCAGGAGGCTCAGCACAAGGGCGACATTTCCGCTCAGATTGCTCTCAAGCCCGCCATCAACTTCAACGGTGGTGGTCACCTGAACCACACTCTCTTCTGGGAGAACTTGGCCCCCAAGAACGCTGGTGGTGGTGAGCCCCCGTCGGGTGCTCTCGCTTCTGCCATCGACAACACCTTTGGCGGTCTCGACAAGCTCCAGGCACAGATTAACACTGCTCTTGCTGGTATCCAGGGCAGTGGCTGGGCTTGGCTCGTCAAGGACAAGCAAACCGGTCAGATTAGCGTCCGCACCTACGCTGTAAGACCCCGAGGAAGACTACGAAATACGAGAATAAGATCAAATGGCTGATACACAACAGAACCAGGACCCTGTCGTTGGCCAGTTCCAGCCCCTCCTCGGTATTGACGCCTGGGAGCACGCCTACTAGTAAGTCTACCATGGTTGAATAGCCATGAACAGTACGCTAACATGTAACAGCCTCCAATACCAGAACCGCAAGGCCGAGTACTTCAAGGCCATCTGGGACATCGTCAACTGGAAGGCCGTTGAGAAGCGCTTCTCGTAAGCGCATGAAAAGCACTGTATATTTTGACGCAATTGACTTTTGAGCGTATTTTACTGTGCTTGAATAAGATGACTTTACTAGTTAATGAATGAATTGGCTATTCTGATGTCCTTTACAGTAATCATGATGTAGTGATTTGTATACTTCTATGGCACCGGAGAACCGCGGCTCTGTAACGGTGGTATCACACGTAATCTTACCGTATTGAGTGATCATCGACTCCATCCTTTCATTTTCCCTGTTTCAATTTCTTGCGACTTCATCTTTTTCTTTTCGGATGCTGTTCCTTCGTTCTTTAATTCCTCATCCTACGTATTGACTATGTCCGTTGAAAGTCCCGGCGAGGGACAGGGCTTCCGGGCCTTCTTTGCCAACGCTCTCCGACCCAAGAGGTCTCGCCGAGTCCTCCGCAAGGCTAACGCATCCACTCCGGACCTTCGCTCAACTGCCCTGGCACACAAGCTCGACGATGATATCCCCCCGGTCCCTAAAATCGCTCCGTTGCAGGCTCATCAGGAGAAATACCGGGCAGCAACTGGACAGATCGACTCGCAATTGGGAGAGAACCGCGACTACACCACGATCCTCCATTCACTTGGAATCCATGGCACGGGGAACCACGAACAAGATGCAGAGGACTGGGAATATGACCCTCAACGACCAGGCGAACCATTAATAGCCAGTCTATCAATGCCGCTCTGGGGCATGGTAGCCGAGAACCTCGATCCCGCCGGCAGAGCCAGCTTAGCTTTCGCCAACAAAACCTTGTTCAATCGACTCGGTCCAGGTCCCTGGATCGAACTGGGCTATCCCGAGAACCGCGAGTATCGGGCTGAGTTCCTGGTATCGCAGGACCGCTTCCTACCGCACCATCTGCTCTGCTTCCCCTGTGCGAAATTCCACCGTCGAACGCAAGAAGGTCGCGAGAAACTCCAACCTGCAAATGTCCTCAATCCGCTCTTCGAGTGTCCAAATGCGCGCAACACAACGCTGCCCGCACCCCGTCACCGAATCACCCACGGCCGCAACCTATACTTCGCCTTCGTTCAACTCGCACTGCGCGCCTACCGCTTCTCCCCCAAATACGGCATCACTGTCGAATCCCTCTCCCGCCGCTGGCAACGCGACGGCTGGTCCCACCACTCCCGCTACCTCGTCAACAGAGGCCGCCTCCTCATGCGAGTCGTAAGCTCGACCTTCGCACCCCCGGACCTCCCTCCCAGTTCACAACGCCTCCTCCTCTACTCCCGCGACGACTACTGGCCGTTCTTCTCGGCGTGCGCGCATTGGCGCGACGGCGAACTCATGAATACCTGCAAATGCGCGCTAACCCATATCCCCAAACCCCGCGCCACAGCCGGCCTGCAAGGTGTTGAGCAAAGAGCCAAAGACATGTCTCACGGCCGCACCTACAACCCCAATGCTATCACGACACTATGCGGGAAATGTCGTCCCATGCGTCGCTGTCCCGACTGTCCCTCCGAATACCTCGTCGAGATCAAACTCACCGAAGACCGCGCGAATCCGAAGAGCATACACTTCCGACATGCCATCGTCGTTACCCGCTGGTGCGATCTGGGCGATGGAACAAGTCCGAAGTCCTCGCCGGAGTGGGCAGCGGCCAACGGGGAGGGAGAGAGATATGATTCGTTCAAGGTATTAGGGAAGAGAACCATCTCGGGGACGTTCGAGTCAGCGCTCACGGATGATACTATCCCTGGTCAACGGGTTCTGAATATGAATCCGAAGGGGAAGAGGCTTGGTGAGGCGGGGACGAATTGGTATTGATTCTCGCCAAGGTGGCCGGACGACAAAGGGTACAAGACAGAAACAAGTCAAGACGGAGGAGGTCCTCGGGAGGACTTGTCTTTTGTACCTCTGCCCCTTACCGCATGCGCATTCCTGGTCCCTGCAATCGGAATGTGCCATCGACAATGTCAGGCCGTTTTCGGGGAACGCAACGTACCTTTCTTTCTTTTATCTTTCTGCCGGAGTACTTGCAAGAAAAACGCAACATAATACATACCAAATACGGCTCGACAATAGACGCCACGTCGTCGTGGCACTGCAAATACGGAATAATAACGCACAAAAGGTCTACTGTGGACATCTAACATCTAACAGCAACAGCAACAAAAATGCACTTGAACATACATGGATCTTACGGAGTACGGCACGGTAACTATTGGCTTTGGTTCAACTAAATCGGGATGAAACGGAACAGGCGTGACTATCAATTTGAACATGGGCATTTGTACATTAGACTGAATCATAGATACTGGTATATCTAAATTTATTAAAATTCTACCCACGGATCAAGCATAGACTAGTTGGTTGGAGTAAACAAACGAGGATCGAAACTCCCCTTGGATTCATTAAACCGTACGCTAATTTTGATAACATCCAGATCCATAACGCCTGTAACTGTAATTTTAGAGCCACAAGAAACCACTCCATCCGAGAATAAATAAGAAAATATAAACATGATACATACTCCGTAGAAACATAAGACATAAAACTCCGGTATCGACGTCCCCGTACCTGCAGGGTACAGTTAATCCGGCCACATGGGCTCGCCTGTAAAAGAGTGATGAGGATTGCTGGACAGGATCAACAACCTAAGTGTGGGTAGTAAATGGTAAAATGGTACATAATCATGTTCGTCCTTGCCTTCGTTATCGTAGTTCATTGAAAATAACACATATGTAGGGGTATCAAATCGCAAGGCGTGAATAGTACAGAATGTAAGTAAGTGTGTAGGTGTAAGGACATGGTGGGTAGTTGGTAAGTTAATAAGAAAAAGACATTAAGCATGGTTAGGCCCGTCATCTGGTTCGACTGAGACTGTTCACCTCAGTGAATCTCGATGACCGCGCCGTTCGATGTATCTCAATCGGCGTCCCGCTTCGTCGGGATTGGGACTGCCGGCGAAAGCCTGGGTACTGTTGTTTGCTGCCGTATCCTTGGCAGTGCCTGGTATGTCAGGAGTCATTCGTAATGATGATCTCCTGCTTCTCATTGCATTGTTGGACTGTGTGGGTGTGATTGGGGAACTAGGTTCCGACTTCTTGCTGGTTGCCCCCTTCATCCAGCCGATTATTGAAAGGGAGCTGCGGCGTTTGTGCTCCTTGCTATTGGAGGTGATAGGCCGAGTGCCGTTGGAGAGCATGTTTGATTCTGTAGAAGAGTGAACAAGAGCCCGCTGGGCAGGGTCCGCGTATGTCGGGATCGCAGGGCTTAGTTCTGCGCGGCTGGAAGCCGGCCGGTATTCAAGAAGCTTGGGTGTTGACTTCATCCCCGAGTTACGGGCTTTTGGTACAACAGGAGCTGGTGCGTGCTCCTCGCTACTCCTAGAGTCCTCGGTAGCAGATTGTTGCAGACGACGAGAGTTTCCAAAGCGGCTAAAGAACGGCGGCCGGAAACTGATTCGCCGTCGTGTAGGTTCTGGTACAGGCGCTGGTGGTCGCACTGCAGGATGAGGTGCAAATTCAAGAGAATGAGGATCTAAGGTGGGCTCTTTGGTAGACCGACGGATGGCGGAATCCATGCTATGCCGTCGTACATCGATACTTGCTTTGCCTGGATGTCTAGCACCCATCGACACACTGTTCTGGTAGTATTTGCCGGGCTTGTGATAGCCTGTCTTTTCTTCAGGAATGGAGTTGGCCGCCTCAACCCAATCCTGTGGAGTCAACTGTGGAGAGGAAGACGGGAGGTTTACTGTGTGTCGCTTGCTCTTGCTATCGCTCTCACCGTGGTGTTCTGTGCCATCCCATGAAGTAGTAGATTCCTGGCAAGACGCGTGGCGACGATGTTTTGTTGAGATGGAATTCAATGGAGCTATCGCAGGTGTTTCATGTCTTTCAATGCCCTGCATCTCACGAGTTGAAGTGTCACTCATATTAGTGCCCATGCTACCAGTCCGCGCACTGTTGTCCGAGCTTCGGCGCGATGTCAATTCATCAAAGGAACGGGGCCGGCCAGGATATTGCTTCCGGCCTTTGGCTGCTTGGATACTACCATTCGACCGGTTGTTACGCGGTGCGGTACTCATTGTATCCGGAGTAGGTGGAAGCCTTGAGCCTCCGAACAAACCATCCATTCGTACCCTCTGGCGGGGATCCATCGAGTCATTGGACCGCTTCTTCTGCCTTGGAGAGCCATTCTGGTTCGAGTACACACCCGGCACGGGCCGTATCCATTGATCGATGTGTGCACGTTTCCTTTCCTGCGAGCGAATCTGGAACTTCCGTCCAAACGTGTCAGAACTGCCTGCCTCTGATTCCTCACCTCGACTCGCAATCTCAGGTTGATCGACTTCCTCTTGTAGGACAGAAACTTCTTCGGGAACCAGGTCACTGCATTCACTCAGGGCGCTCAGTCTTGGGGAAGCAGGCTCTGCGTTCTCATTCATGGAGTTCAAGCTCTCACTCTTCGTAATCACACTCATGGCCGACTGTGACTGGTTGCCACTGGGAAGGTATAGACCGCGCAAGGCGGGTGTTCTGTTTTCGTCGCGGAGAAAAGACGGTGCGCTCTGAAGATGAGGACGTTCGGGGGATGCATTGCGGTGCTGATCAAGCTTCGTAGCTCGTTTCGACGTCGTTCTCTCCGGAATATCAACAAAGGCACTCTGTCTCGGCGTTGCAGCATCGGGCCCCTCGCTGGGAGCCGTGGACGGTCTTGATGGGTTTGCCGCCTCCAGTTCAGCCACTTTCGTCTCTAGCTGACAGATGAGATCAACTGCCTCTGTAACTGCCTGGTCTCGTTTGTCAAGCTCTTGCCGCAGTTGCTCGTTCGACTCACGTAGCCGCTGGTTGTCCTCCTCTGCATGGCGCAGCTCTTGCAACTCATCTTCCAATGCACGTATCCGCTTCACCTCTTCTTCCAGTTCCTCCATGCGTTCCAACCTCTTTTCCAAGGCTGAAACTTGCTGGGTGCGGTGGAAGATTTCCAATTTCAGGTCAAAGTTCTGTTTGTTCATCTTGGACACGTACTGCGGGAATAATGGTCAGTCTAGACATTATCCAGATAAATAGGGGAACAACCAACCTGATCCATTTCCCTGACACCCATTTCCCGCGGTTGTCTTAAACCCGCTGACAAAGCCGAATTGACCCTCTTCTGTTTATCGCTCGTATCGTCCTGAGATTGGGATTGGGACTGCGATCGCGACCGGGCGGAAGGACGATCCGGGGTTCGTGGCACCTGAGCATCCATTTCTTCTGTCGCTGTCCGTGAACCTCGACAGGCACGTTGTTCTTTTAACAGATCTTGGAGGAGAGCGGAGGAAGGGTTCACGAGCGTGCTACCGGCTTCCGGGGTTCCTGCACAACAAGCGTCATCAGTATTTTACCACCACAACCGACAGTGTAACAACATACCAGCTCGTCGAGGCGTCCCTGGTGTTCCTGGAGTTCCGGGTCTCCCTGGTGTTCTTTTGGTGGGCGACTTGGTGGGCGACTTGGTGGGCGATTGGTCGTTGGCCGATACCATCTCTGAACGATTGTCAATTCCGTCACGCGTGGTAGGATATACAGTCGAATTGATTGCGAGCGTACCTGACTTTCTCGGAGGAGTTTGCATGGCGAGTTCTTGATCCTTGATGCGAACAAGGGATACTTGACGAGGAGATTCCGGGGTGTCTATGCAAACGGCATGTCAACAACACGTTTGATTGAAGAGAAGACGCGCCAATTCCATCAAATTACAAGAAGAAGAAAAAAAAAAAAAAATATATATATATATATATATATATATATATATATATATATATATATACAACGCACCGTTAGGAAGGTTCTTCAGCGATTCGCTGCGACAACGAGTGTGATGCAATGGGTATCGCGAATGGTCGGCTAAGCAGGAAGACACCGAGACGGAGCAGTGTCTCTGTTTTTTGTCCATAGTGGCCGCCAAGGGGACCTAAATTAGGAGCAGCACATCACCTGGTAGTTACCTGGTTGACAAGATGTGAGTTGGACGTAAGGAGGATGCAGCATGTAAGTAAGTGAGGTCGACAGGAACGAATGCCAGTAATGAATATTGCAGCTGCACAACGTGAGGGGGAGCCACGATGGTGGTTAATTGTTCCGGCGATGATGATGATAAGTGGATAAATTCCAAGAGGGGATGAGGAGAGACACACATTGAGTGAGGGGAGAAAGAGGAGAGAGAGAGAAGGAAGGAAAAGACACAGAAGGAAGAAAAGACGGTGGGAATGTGGATTGGAGGACAACGGAGTCGATCCATCGGGGAGAGAAGCAGTAGAGAACAGACCCCGTGATCCACGGAATGCTCCCAACGACTTGTTGGTCGCCACGCGATGTGGAATTTGGGTCAACTTTCTACTCCGATGTAGTGAATGTACAACGGTTCTATACAAGTACTTGTTGATGTATTACTGTACTCAATGAGCTCTATCAATCCCGTCTATGTACCTGCAGTCGGGCATAGATAGGCGATCGCCGCAACGCCCAATCGGGTGATATAGTATTAGAACATCTAAACTGTAGAATAATCAGTGTTGATTGAAAAGTTCAGAATGAGACAATGTATCCACCAGACCCATTGGTTGGGTACTGACTACTCATGGAACTGGACTCTGGGGCTGGCGCTTCCACGGTTCGATGGGTGAGGTTCCGGGTTTCCGGTTGGATAGGGGTGTATTGTCGTTGATATAGCACCATTATGTATACTTATCCCTACTATTCTCTGCCGCGGCTATAAAAGCACAAATATACATTCGAGCACTCTGTGGTGGGTGATATGGGGATATCGAACGGTTCGGGAAACCCCTCGCAACCCTATTAGCCCACACAGGGTCCACTGTTTCATCATGACTTGAGAATTTTAGACCCATTCGGGCCACAGGAAAGCCTCCGCATTGCAATTGGTCTGCAATTCTAAGATCCAGTTGAGATATATTTGCATAAACTCGCCTAGCAGAGGCTATCCCTGTACTAGAACCAGGATCAGATCATGCAAAAGCATTGAGAAAAAGCTCCCGAGTCTCAATATTGGTGCTACGCGTGGCGATACGCTGTACAGTTGACGGCATCTCCGATGCATACCATTTCAAAGTTCACTGCAAACAAATGTAACTAATCCCTAACGATAAATAATCCGCAACCAATATACGCCAAATGAAGAAGCACCGCTCCCGCTCATCAATTCATCATGCAAATCTCATAACCTCAGGTCTTTGGCTTTTTTGACTCTCCGGACCAAATGCGCATCTGCTTGGCGCTGTCGTGGGCAATGCGGAACACTATGCGTGTAGTACAGCATGTCAGTGAACGAGATTGTGCAATGGGGATGCATTAGACATACGTTGACGTTCTGTTTCATCAAGACCACGTAAGAACTCGACGCCGTCCCCCATGGCCCCCCCTCGAGGATTATGTGCATGATCAGCAATCTCTGCAGCCCGCTTTCGGAATGTCTGTTCTCAGTTAGCATTGTCATATTAGAATGAAAACGGGAGGAAAAAATAAAATAAAATAAAAACACACATTACTCAATACGTCCACCATCTCCTCTTCCTCAAACAACTCGAGGATTCGCTCACTCAAGTTGTAAAAATGCGGCGCCAAAGCCCGCAAATCAACGGTCCGAGGGTCAGCCTTCAGCGCATTCATCACTCGCTCCGATAATGCAGGTGGCAGATCAAGGCTGACCAATCGAGACGTTCCCAGCCGTGCTCTGGCATACAAGTTAGACGGAAACGACACAAGGTGGTGTCACATACCCGATGGAAAGCATTTCTCCTAGCCATAATGGGAGGTCAATTCGTGTCCCCGCTTTTATCTGACGGACGTCATGTCAGTTATTGCAGTCGAGAATGCGTAGTGGATGATCATTTTCTGCAGCATACATCTTCTCCCGGATTGCCCTCGAGTATGCCAAGCCCGGGGACTTCGAGCTCAAATGTGCAGGGCAGTTTCTGGAAGAGGTTAGCTCATGATATACCGATTCAGAATTCAAAAATTGCTTACCTGAGCGTCTGTTAGAATAGAATCCACATCGTAATATGACATCTTGCTTATCTTGTTGGGATTGCTGCTTTATGGTTCTCCTTCGTAAGACGCGAGTTGTCTTTGCCAGCGCGTACCATATTCGACAGTGTCACGTGAAACCGTGTGCTTTCCCGATATGGTTCTTGGCGGCGACAAACAGCGTTCTTCCACAGTTACTACGTCCAGTACATACTACAAAGAAGTGCCAAGCGAACTTAACTTAGTTTTTCTGAATTAAGGTGATCTAGGTTCTCTACTTGATCAATTACTATATTCACCACATTCTGCCTCATCCAACTCAGACCCCTCTTTGCTCGAATTGCCGCATATGACAACGCAGCCTTTGCTTTGATTTTATGGTCCCTAGACCTAAAATACTTCATTCAGCGGGAAGTTGAGGACCGGGCGAGAACAACTGCGGGGGACTACCAAGCGAACGAAAGCCTTGTAAAAGCTGACGCTCCAAGAGGCCTTTACAGGAGAGTTCTCTGCCATAATACCTGGAACGGCTTAGCTCTCGACTACAACGCAATCAGCCTGTCAGGGTCTAGCATGGATCTCCGATTCTTTCTTCCAGGGCCTTTGGCACTAGGTGATGCATTGCAGTCCGGATGGACATTGAAGCTTCCTATATGGTTACACTCTACTATTTAGTCCATGCATTGTTACTCTCCGGTTAGACTACAAGGATACACCATCCCAAAAATGGTTTAGTGCACGTCCCCACTAGATCGAGTGTTGGTATTTTTGGTATGGTCGATACAGGGTCTCTCAGCAGCAGGATTACAAGTACAGAACTGGCATTGAGAGGCTTTACAATCGCAAATGCGTGGACTCGATCCCCGCGGAGATTTGAATGTTGACTGTTCAGCCATGTAGTATTGATCTAGCGCACTTGCTGTCAGGCGAGGATGTAACTAATAATATGCTGGACTAAAATCGACTGGATCAAGTCCAAATATAGCTGTCACAATTACAATACGGGATTACTCCGGATGTCTCTCCAACGCTTCTTGTTTCTTGCTTTTTTCCTCCTGTTTTATTTTTCCTTTATGCCCTGCCGTTTGCCTTCTTTCCTTGATATTTTCCCTTCATTCCTTTGAATTCAGTGAGATTTATTTTCCTTGCGGATCCTTTACGGATCCCTTGGCCCTCCCCTCTTTTCTCCTGCGCGCGGCTTGGTTTCAGAGAGCTATCTAATCTGTCTTGGCCCCCAGTCTGGCTTGAATGGACAACAGCAGTCGACTTCACAACATTGAAATCGTCCATCTGCATACGCCCTCAAGATGACTTACAATGCTGTATCGCAGGATGATCCCGAAGTGGCTTCGAATGCCTCCGATTCCGATGCCTCTCGCAGTTCTTCGCCGGTGCTGTCGCAACAACGTCATGGGTTTCAACAATTGTCGTCCGACGCAGATAGTCTCGGAGCTGGCCATCATCTTGAACCAGCCAGAGCAGCGGATGATATTAGTGTCGGGGATTTGGTTTCGATGATTCGCTCAATAAGTTCCGCGAGCTACGACATGGTTGAAGAGGACGATGACTATGAGGAACCTACTATCGAGCCAAAATCCAATAGTTCCCGCCGGGGTCCTCCGCCCATTGACACGGCGACCACCACTGCTGCCGCAGGCCCGAATGAAAGCCAGATTCAGTCTCGATCAGCGTCGTGTAACGTTTCTCCTGATGAACCACCTCTGCGATCCCCCGCCAGTGATAAACCCGTGCCGCTCAGCCATCCGACTCCAGATCTTCAGTCGTTACAAGGTGCTTACGTGGGAAATGTCGAGCGGTTGGAAAGGAGTGCAGAACAAATGAGCGCTGGCTCATCGGATATTGCAAGTGAGATTCGTAGGATGGATTTGGAACAGAAGCGGCGCAGCTCGACTGCCTCGGTCGCCAACTCGGCCATTAACCTTCAATCACCCCGTGGCTCCGTTCGTTCTGCTACTCGTATGCCATCTTCTCAGTTGACGCTGTTGACTGAGGATGGATATGAGGGACAGCCGTTTCATGATCAAACGCAGGGCGTTCCAGTGATTCTACAACCGCCAGCTGCTATCCAGTACGACAACCAGTACTATCCCGCGCTTTACGATATCGAACGTCCATCTAGCGCTGCCTCCGGCGATACATATCAACAAGCCAGAATTTTGTTTTCGGATTTCGATGGGGTGCATTATGTTCCCCAGGACAAGGGCCAAGGTATCGAGCGCCAAGCTTCTTTGGCAAGACCCCCTATGGCGAAACGGTCCAAGCCGTACCGGGCAGAGAGTATGGTCTACTATCCGGCACCGGTTCCTGCGACGCTTAAGCTACCTCCACGCTTGTCCGACAAGTCAGTCCCTCAACGGGAAACACGGCGCACTCATCGTCTGAGCTCTGTTTTTCTGGGTCAAAGACGATCCACACCAGGACTCTCTGACCGCTTCGCTACACCGCGCGGAACAGACACAACGCAATCATCACCCGTTGCTACTCTGGACCGGATGCTTGACGATTCTGTACATGCTCCAGTTACAGCACCCATTCATCCAGACCCGAGTCCTCGAGTTCCTAAAACATTGCACCGGAGAATGCCGTCTCAAAACCTGACAGAACAGAAGAAAAAGCGCAGCTCCCGTGGCTTGTTCCGATTTCATAAGAGATCTTCCAGCCCCGATGACCGCCCCAACACTTCTACAGGCCATTTGTCTCAAGGCCACTTGTCCCAACCAACAGAAGTCGAAGTGGCAGAGGCGCATGAGAATACGGCCTTACAAAATGATGCCGCGCATGAACAAGAACGTGATAGCGTTGGATTGGATCACAGCGAGGAGGATATCCGTGACTACATGGGTGCTCCAAATACCTTGATGGCAGAATTGGAAGTGCGAAAGCATGAGCTCAAGCACCGAACCCGCCCGGCCGCTGACCGTGTGGGGTTGCGTTCAACTTTACTTCAGCTTGACGCAGTTGCCCAGGTACAGAGTGAGCACCGACGACAAAGGCCTGCTACCATCGCCTTGGACCATCACGATGCTCACAACGGTGGAAACGACCATGATGATGAAGACGTGCCTCTTGGAATGCTATACCCCGAGAAGCCATACATACCCACCGAACCGCGGCCGCTGGGTCTTCTGGAAAAGAAACAGCTGGAAGAAGACGAACCCCTTAGCAGGCGTCGCGCCCGATTACGGGGTGAGCAACCGGATCAATCACCGAGTCTGTCACAGCAAGCTAGCACGGGTTACCTTCCCGATGCCCTCAACAATGCTGGTCCCGAAAGTGGTGACGAGGAAGAAACCCTGGCCCAGCGCCTCAAGCGTCTAAGAGCGAAGAACCGGAACAGCACGGCTGGAAACAGTGATTTCGCAAGCGAGATCTTTGCAGAAATCAACCACCTTAAAGAGGACGAAAAAGAAGATGGGGAGGCACCCGGAGAAGAAACTTTGGCACAAATACGGGCTCGCCTACGACAGCAGGACACAAAAAAGCCGCAATCTGGTCGCTACGCCAACGTTTCCCGGAACAGAAGAAGCATGGGAAGTATTTCCCTCATGCGTCCGGTCACTGCTCAACGACAGTCGTCCACCAGTCACCACACCACTCCGCCATATGCACAGCACGCCTATGCCGGTTCTCGCATGTCCCTGCAGCAAATGCCACCGAACTATGGACATCCGCAGCATGTCGGGTACCCGATGCAGCATGCGTATGGGAACGGGATGGCGCATCCCAATATGGCTTACCGCAACTGCATGGGATCTGGTGCACCGCATCATGCGACGATTGGGGCGTCGACGACTGACTTGCCACAGCGAGAGATGATTGATCGCTGGCGGCAGAGCGTTATGTAGGGTTTTTTATATCTTTTTTGATGTCTTCGAGCATTGGTTTGGAGTGAATGTTGTAATGTGGTGATGATGCATGTTTGTCTAGCATAGAATATCGGGGCATTGGGCTCTATTATTCGTGATGTCCTTGGACAGGAATTTATAATCCATCTATTATTGTACAAAAGATGTTTTTGTTCAGAAGAAATATATAGCGGCACAAGGTCATGCATAATACATATCAAGATTTCCATTCTGACTTGACAATCTCAAAACCAACCCTAAGTGACATCGGGCAGCAACGAAAACATCATATCCCTAACAATTGGTCCAAATAAGACAAAATTCTCTGGTTCTGCGACGGCCACGCGTTTTGGATGGTTCGCTTGCGGCGCCTGATTAGGAAAGAACATTCCAGCGGCGGTCGTCGCTAGCTCTCCTCTTCGCTCAGGTATTCTCCTCCGTCCTGGTTTTACTCCTACTTACAATTTCCACGATTATCCCATCGGCTCCGACATCTTAAACAAGTGACTGCTATTTTGGTCCTCATTGGTTAATTATTCCCTTGGTATTTCATTTTCTCCGAGACCTGGTACCATCCAGCGAGAGCCCCACGGCAGAACCAACCATCGGGTTGACAGCAGAAAAAAGAACACAGGACGTCATGCAAGCTTTTCACTCATAAACAAATAAACATTAGCGACGACGGACTCATCCTATCCTGGAAGTGTCCTCGCGCGCGCACAATTAATCGGCGACCATGCCCCCCTCTACCGTTTTCTCCTACTGGCGACGGGATCATCGCCGGTCGAGTGCGTCGCCGGTGCCGCAGCAGCAGCAGCAGCAGCAACAACAACCGCAACAGCCCGCTTCCTCCCCCTCCTCGAAGAACAATGTGGACGAGAATCCTCCCCAGCTCCCGGTTATACCGAATACGCCGGACTTGTCGATGGGCCTTGGCGAATCTGACGGATCCGGGTCGCAAACGGCCCAACGGGCTTCGGAGGAGAATAACCATTGGGATCAGGGTCAGGTACAGGCAGATAAGTTGAATGTGGTCGCTCCCTCGGGTAGTTCCAGGGTGCTGTCGCCATCAGCAACCAACCTCACCGTGCCATCGTCGTCGCTCGAGAAACAGACCCGACCTCATTCGAGCCCCGAGGAGCGGGAGAGAGCGGCGTCGGTGCTCACTGTGCATTCGAGCAACTCGCAGCTATCGTGTCCAGGCCCGCGTGCGGAATTCGGTGAAAGCGACTCGTCCTCGTCGAAACAGAATTCGCCATTTCGGCTTTCGTTTGGGAAAGGCAATACGTCGTCGAGCGATAGTCAGAAACAGCCGCCTACTTCAGCGCCGGGGACAGCTGTATCGGGTTCGTCGCGGTCCAATGCTCAGTTTAAGGCTTCACCAGATGTTTCCCCTGCGGAAAAATCAATGCTTTCGCATAAAGAGAGCAAATTGGACAGGTCGAATAGTCGTCGACATGCAGATCGGGATGGGTCGTCGGAGCATCATCATAAGTCGGGGAAGGCGATGCTTCATCTCCTGAATCCTATGTCGCTTCTGGCGCGGAGACGGTCATCGCGGTCTTCTCGGATGGCTAGTTCCCGGGCCGATGACACGAAAATCGGCGTTCCAAATCTCGTTCCTGCAATTCCGGATGACTATGACCCTAGAATCCGTGGGAATATTGTGCATGATTTTTCTGCACCACGGCCGCGTCGGAATATATCTACTGCGCCGATCCTTGCGCAGGATGCGGCTGGTGCAAATGATCCGCCCCAGAATGGACATGTAACTGAACAGTCGAACCAGACGAGCGAGCAGAAGACCAGACACAATGAGCACCCTCCTGCATTCAAGGAGCATTTTGAGGAAGACAAAAATGCATTGCAGGTTGAAAACAAAGGATATCTGCAGTCGCCCTTGTTGATGAACCCAGCCCATCAGGACAATGAACATTCGCTCCCTGTGTTTGCAAGGAATTTGCCGTCAAAGATTCCTGAACGTGATGAGGGGCAACCAGCTGAACAGCAACAAGAACAGCAACAGCCTCCGCAGCCACCGCCACAACAACCTCAGGAGCAAGCTGTGCTAGATCCCGAACCTGCGCCCGAATCCGTTAAGAAGGGCGAACTTCCACCGGTTCGCGAAGAAGAGGATACTGTGGTCGAAATGCCGCAGCAGCCATCGGGGCTACCACGGCACTTGAAGAGCAACGCGTCAAGATTCAGTTTTGATATGACTGGCATGGAATCTTCGGTCCAGGAAAAGCTTTTGGAAGAGAAACATAAGGAGAAAGAAGCAGAGCGCAGGGCCAAATATGGAACTGACGACGAGGAATATAGCGATGAAGATTTCGATGAAGACCTTTTGGATGACATGGATGGTCTCGAAGAGAAGATCCCTGGTGTCAATACGGATGCCGATGAAGATGAACTTGTCTCTGGGTCTGGAACTATGATGATGAACAAATCTTGGCTCTCTCCCGGGCTGTCTCCGATTATTGGCAGCCCGGCTAGTCCTGCTATCCCGAACCAGGCTACTCTTCCCATGCAGGGAGCTCCAGTTCCTGCTGAGCTGCTGCAGAATCCTTCCCACTCTCCGTCTCTCTACGAAAACACTACACCAGGGAACAATGATATAAATATACCACAGCAGCAGATGAACGCAGGAGCGCCTTCGACTGGACCAGCCCCGGTACCCCTTGGAATGAACCCTGGCACATCACAAGTATTGGAGGACGATGACGATCTATACTTTGATGATGGAGAATTTGGTGATCTCGATGCGGATGTTGGTGATGAGGGTGAGAAGTTCGACGAATCGATCTTCGATGATGAGACGAGTCACCTATATGACCGCAAGAAGAAAGCGGCCCCTGAAATCAGCGGAGAGCAACAGGCAACACGACTCGAGGATTCTTCATCTGAAGAAGAGGAATTTACTGGAAACCTGGCAGGTCACACAGGGGCACTGGGACATGCACCTAGTATGGCCAGCAATTATCGAGTAGGGCTCAAGACTTTTGGTTCTCTTTCTGAACGAGCACGGGATGCCGGGTCTGCTAAGGTCCATGGCGGAGTACTCTCCGAACACAACCTTGAGGCATTGCACAATGCCCTGACCAAAGCAGCAACTGGTAATGACCGATTTGAACGAACAGACAGCATGAGTGATCGATCTATGGACCAAGAGAGCGCGGCTCAGACAGCACAAACAGTAGAGTCTCACTCGGGACTGATATCAGATAACAGTCGCTTGAGCCAGGCCATCGAGCCATTCGGCTCAGAAGAAGTTCTTGAAGATTTTGACTACGACGACTGCGATGCCCTATACGATGACCCCATTATTGCGGCGGCCAATGCAGAAGCGTTGGAGAACGATGACGATGGGTTCTATGGTCAAGAATTTGGCTTTTATGCACATTCCCACGGGAATAGCGAGTTGGAGCTCACCAATGGTGGATACTTTGGCCCACGTGGGGTGGAAGGTATATCGCGGAGTTTCAGCAGCCGGGGTAAATTCCGGGAACCCAGTTTGACCCCCATCACTGAGCGGAGTGAGCGAAGCACGCGCAATTCGGTTATCTCGTTGACAGCGGCACATGCCCCGGGCCATTCGAACACGTCCATGTCGAGTCCCGGGTTGGCGCAATTGGTTGATTTGGGCAATCTGGATGACGAGATGTCACTCAGCGCACTGATGAGACTCCGCCGGGGAGCCTGGGGTGGAAGTAATGGCAGTCTCCGCAGCAGCAGTGCCAGTCCACCCCCGTTTGCTCACCAGCCGCATTCCTCATCGAACCGGGGTAGTTTCACCGCGCTTTCCGATGCAAGCCCGACTATCCCGACGATCCCAGCCGATGTCATCTGGCCCGGAAACGGCAGTGCGACTGGATCCCCAGTTCGGGAACTCGAACGGAACGGATCGTCGACAGCCAGCCCGGTGTAAATTTGGTATTTTATATTTTGATCTATGGAGTATATGTATACCCGTCTATATCTACCGCGATGCCTATTCTACGACCTAATGAGTTCATTTGTATATTTGGTTTTGACATTCAGCGCATCTTTCTTTTTGTTTCTTTTCATCTTGCCTTCTATCTAACACACTACTGTGAATTGATCAAGCCCGGCTGTATATAGCATAGTGTCTAATACATATATCCTCCCGCAATGATTGGCCACGTGCCCATCCGCAAAAACCCGTGGCGGGAAATTCGCATAACCGGCCTGTGGCGGTGCAGCGTACGGTATTGTAATCCCGGCCCTGTGGTCAGTGGGTGACACAGCCGGTGGGATTCGTAAAACGTGCGTAAGGACTCGACACAACCGGCTCGGTATCCGGCTGAGTCAGGATGTGGCTAGTGCAGGCTTTCAGCCACAGCCGTCATAGCCGTCGATCTCGGCAAAGACACTGAGAGTCTCTGGCTGTATTGAGCCGGTTTCATCTCTTCCTCTCTCTCTCTCTCTCCTTCTCCCTCTCTGAACCTCCGGTTTCTCACCACTACTACCCTTTTTAACAACTAGAGAGTTCTGCTCTCTGATGAGTCCCGTTGGAGTGCAGGTGCTACGGCAGTTCTAGTCGACACCTGTGTGTTTTCTTGTCATCCGTACGTCCCGTCTTCCTTTTCTCCGTGCAGCAAATAATACATCATCGGGACACTATGGACCTCAGCCAGCCAGCCAGCCAGCCAACTAATTTTACTAGTTGAATAGACATTCTCTTTATCTTTCTTATTGATATTCCACAGCTGAGCTACCGCCAGCTCTTCGCTCTCCCCTCTCCCCTCAATCAATTTCACGCTCCCGCGCGTGACGGAAAAAAAATCCCGCACAATGCTCCGGACCACAGCCGTAAAGGCGGCCAGCGGCAGCTTGTCGCGCGGCTCGACCTGCTCATCCTGCCGGAGATCCTTCTCTCTTGCCTCGAATGTTGCTCGGAATTCTAACGGTTCGAAATTCGGTGTTGCGACCAGGAGGCCTCTCGCTGTTGTGGACCGTTTGGCTGGTGGTTATGGCCGGAGACAGTATGCTGCTTCTGCAGAGGAATTGGAAAAGGGCGTGGTGAGCATTTACCTTGCCTGGGATTTATTGCGATTTGTCGATTGGGGGGAAAAGATATATTGAAGAAAATATGGAATTCGACTGACTGGTGCCGCAAATAGGACCCCAATGATTCCTTCCTGTCCGGCAACACCGCCAACTATATCGATGAGATGTACGTGGCATGGAAGAATGATCCATCCAGCGTTCATATCTCGTGGCAGACCTACTTCAAGAACATGGAGAACGGCAACATGCCCGTCTCCCAGGCTTTCCAGCCCCCGCCGACTCTCGTCCCGACACCGACGGGTGGTGTGCCCCAACAAATGCCTGGTGAGGGCTTGGGCTTGAGCGGCAGCCCTGAAGTCACTAACCACTTGAAGGTTCAGCTTCTGGTTCGCGCTTACCAGGCACGTGGTCACCACAAGGCCAAGATCGACCCTCTTGGTATCCGTGGTGAGGCTGAGGCTTTCGGTTACAGCAAGCCCAAGGAGCTCGAGCTCGACCACTACGGTTTCACTGAGCGTGACCTCGACCAGGAGTTCACTCTTGGACCTGGTATTTTGCCCCGCTTCTCTACCCCCGATCGCAAGAAGATGACCCTGCGTGAGATCGTCGCTACCTGCGAGCATATCTACTGTGGCTCCTACGGTGTCGAGTACATCCACATTCCCGACCGCAAGCCCTGCGACTGGATCCGCGACCGCTTCGAGGTTCCCCAGCGCTACCAGTACGCCGTGGATGACAAGCGCCGCATCCTTGACCGTTTGATCTGGTCGCACAGCTTCGAGTCCTTCCTGGCCACCAAGTTCCCCAACGACAAGCGTTTCGGTCTTGAGGGTTGTGAATCTCTCGTTCCCGGTATGAAGGCCCTGATTGACCGTAGCGTTGACTACGGTATCAAGGACATTGTCATCGGTATGCCTCACCGTGGTCGTCTCAACATCCTTTCCAACGTCGTCCGTAAGCCCAACGAGTCGATCTTCAGTGAATTCGCCGGTTCGACCGAACCCTCTGACGAGGGCTCTGGTGACGTCAAGTACCACTTGGGTATGAACTTCGAGCGTCCCACGCCCTCCGGCAAGCGCGTCCAGCTCTCCCTGGTCGCCAACCCCTCTCATTTGGAAGCTGAGGACCCCGTCGTGCTCGGAAAGACCCGCTCCATCCAGCACTACAATAACGACGAGACCGAGTTCAACAGCGCCATGGGTGTTCTGCTGCACGGTGACGCTGCTTTCGCTGCTCAGGGTGTTGTTTACGAGACCATGGGCTTCCACTCCCTCCCCGCCTACTCGACCGGTGGTACCATTCACATTGTCGTGAACAATCAGATCGGTTTCACCACTGACCCCCGTTTCGCTCGTTCCACCCCCTACTGCTCGGACATCGCCAAGTCGATCGACGCCCCCGTCTTCCACGTGAACGGTGACGACGTCGAGGCCGTCAACTACATTTGCCAGGTTGCCGCTGACTGGCGTGCCGAGTTCAAGCGCGATGTCATTATTGACATTGTTTGCTACCGTAAGCAGGGTCACAACGAGACCGACCAGCCTTCATTCACCCAGCCCTTGATGTACAAGCGCGTTGCCGAGCAGAAGAGCCAGATCGACAAGTACGTCGAGAAGTTGATTGCCGAGGGCAGCTTCACCAAGGAGGACATTGACGAGCACAAGAAGTGGGTCTGGGGAATGCTCAACGACAGCTTCGACCGCAGCAAGGACTACCAGCCCACTAGCAAGGAATGGCTCACCTCCGCCTGGAACGGCTTCAAGACCCCCAAGGAGCTGGCCACCGAGGTTCTGCCTCACCTTGACACCGCCGTTGAGCCCGAGCTCTTGAAGCATATCGCTAGAACCATTAGCGATGGACCGGAGAGCTTCACTCTCCACCGCAACCTCAAGCGTATCTTGTCCAACCGCCAGAAGGTTGTTGAAGAGGGCCAGGGCATTGACTGGGCCACTGCTGAGGCTCTTGCTTTCGGTTCCCTTGTTGACGAGGGTTACCACGTCCGTGTTTCCGGTCAGGATGTTGAGCGTGGTACCTTCTCTCAGCGTCACGCTGTCTTGCACGACCAGGCTACTGAGGCTACCTACACTCCTTTGCAGCACATTAGTGACAAGCAGGGTAGCTTTGTCATCTCCAACTCTTCCCTGAGTGAATTCGGAGCGTGAGTTTCCCTTTATTCTCCCCCCCTCCAATTATTTCTGAATCTAACTTTTGCAGCCTTGGTTTCGAATACGGTTACTCTTTGACCTCGCCTAACGCTTTCGTCATGTGGGAGGCTCAATTCGGTGACTTTGCCAACAACGCTCAGTGTATCATTGACCAGTTCATTGCTGCCGGTGAATCCAAGTGGCTGCAGCGTTCCGGTCTTGTTCTTTCGCTGCCTCACGGTTACGATGGCCAGGGTCCCGAGCACTCTTCGGGCAGAATGGAGCGTTGGTTGCAGCTTTGTAACGAGGAGCCCCGCGTGTACCCTTCTCAGGACAGACTTGACCGCCAACACCAGGACTGCAACATGCAGATTGTCTACATGACCAGCCCTGCTAACATGTTCCACATGCTCCGTCGCCAGATCCACCGCCAGTTCCGCAAGCGTATGTTTTATCTCCTGATCTCATAAAGTGTACTTGCTAACGTTAATAGCTTTGATCATGTTCTTCTCCAAGTCGCTCCTGCGTCACCCCATTGCTCGCTCTGAGCTCTCCGAGTTCTCTGGCGACTCTCACTTCCAGTGGATCATCCCCGACCCCGCTCACGGCACCGCCATTGACGAGCCCGAGAAGATCGAGCGTGTGATTCTCTGCTCTGGTCAGGTGTACGCCACCCTGATCAAGCACCGTGAAGCCAACAACATCCGCAACACCGCCATCACCCGTATCGAGCAGCTGCACCCCTTCCCCTGGGCTCAGCTCAAGGAGAACCTCGACAGCTACCCCAACGCCCAGAACATCGTCTGGGCTCAGGAGGAGCCTCTGAACGCCGGTGCCTGGTGCTTCACCCAGCCCCGTATCGAGACTCTGCTCAACGCTACCGAGCACCACAACCGCCGGCACGTCCTCTACGCCGGTCGTGCCCCTAGCGCATCGGTTGCCACCGGTCTCAAGTCCGTGCACATCAAGGAAGAGCAGGAATTCCTCGAGGATGCATTCTCCATCCACCAGGACCGTCTGAAGGGCGAGTAAATGTAACATAATAACACTATCTCTGTCATTTCATTTCATTTCAATTTCCCTTTTCATATTTCTCTTTTCTTTTCTATTTTCTTATCCGTTGGGTATGGTGGAGGAGGCAATTGAGAGGTTATATTATAGTACATTTGTCTGATTACTACATCTTAAACACCTTTTTTTGTGGGAGCTAGGCTAGCGTCGACTACTTTTGTTATCCTTTTCTTTGTTTCTTTTTGTTGCATGTGTATGACGTGAGTATGTCTTGGTGTATGTCTTGGTGATGTCTGACCTGACTACCTAGATGGTGCGTATTGTAGAATAATGTGGTCAATTTAGTGTGCCTACAACGGTAGGTTACCTACGAGACTTGCTGGTTGGGATTGTATAGGGTTATCCAAGACTAGAACTCGAGGCTTGAACCTGGGGAGTACTTGAATTGAATATTAGCTCGAATCGAGACAAACAGCCATAGTAATGCATCTACACGCCTTGTCCACGTATCAGTTATAGGGCTGGGGGATGGGTTGTGGGATGGTGTTGTGTTGATTGTTGTCTTGTTGAGAGTGTCCATGTCTGTGGTGGTCGGTTTCCAGGTGATTTCAGAGGTTATCCATAGGTGGGCTTCTTTGCAGTAGTACGTCTGTTTTGTTTAGCTGTTTATATACTGATATAAAAAGATAGGAAGGAAGGGGAGGTATTCGTCCTGTTCCATCGGGTTCAAAGTCTAGGATTACGGTATGGGCTAGGTCGTATGTCCAGGGCTCGGAGGTTAGGATTGAGAGGAGGGATTCTTGCATGGTGTATGAACCGGTGTTGCTGGTTTGATTTCTTTTGTATATTTTTGGCTGTACACATGTCATTTCCAACTCTCCCCATCAAATTCTCAGCTGATAAGGCAGTTTTGCAGACTTGTATCAATGATGCTATGCACAATTAGCATGAAGAAGTATGTATGCATGAAAAGCTCAAGCCAATCTGAGAAACCAACCAGATATCTGCCTTATTCTTTCACACCGACCAATCGCCCTTTTCAGAAATACCCAGGATGTCTCCATTTGAACGCTTTTCAGCCTAAAAATAGGCCATTTATCGGGCCTCCTATTCTCATCTCTCTCCCCTTTCCACTCCTCGCTCGAACTCGCATCATTCGATCTACGCACTGTCAGTCATCAGGCACAGAATTGTATCAGAGGTAGGCCAACCTTGCTAGCTTCACACACAATACCGACTTGCAACCAGAGAAATAATCAACTCCAATAAGTTTGAACACGCAGACCGGATAAGGCGCATACCTCTCACCCAAACTGGGAGATTAGTACGGAGCGATGACAACCAGCCAATGGCCGCTATGAAGAATGGCTTGTCTACTGTGGAAAAGCGACATGATTTGTAAACATGCATTCGTACCAGGGCTCGGTATGGATACAAAAATATAACCCAGAGGGGTATCGAATTTAAAGACGGGTTGATTCACCTGTACCATGAACCAAGACGCAGAAATGGTCCCTCAGAAAGCCGTTTACTTCTTGTAAATAGAGTATTTCTGTGACAAACTTGACCACTATCCGGTGTCGAGCATGTCATTCTCCAGTAGAGGGACATTCAGCTTTTATCAAATCCCAGAGAGAAACGGTAAATGATCATACCGCCAGAACCTTGTCTGGTGGGTTTGGAGGCCTATTGGACCCCAGGATCGGGTGCGAGAAGACGAAAAAGGTATGTTACTATCAGGATACATATAACTTGGATTATGCTAACACTTCTATCAGGAAATATATTTACATGGTCAAGATAATTTGTGATGCCGTTCAATGTGCATTGTATATCCAATTGAACCCAGAAGACCGACATGGGCTCGGTTTAGATTACACAAGAATGTCTACATAGGTTGTCTGGCGTTCATCAAAAACCGGAATCATGCATAGGGGCTAGTAACCGGCATAAAGACCTCTAAAGACACCAAATGTGTGGATTCCGGAAAGCAAAGTTGATGGTTCAAACCACAGGACGTTCACAAGCCATCTGTTAGGACTTTAGACTACCATCGACCGACGCCAAAACCTCCATTGTGTCCTTTGTCACATTTCTCCACCCCGACATTAAGGTCCTTTATTGGTATAGCACAACAAGAACATGGCCCTGGTCGGTTATAGAATTTGTCGATGGGGTAAGCTGACCTCCCAATCCTTTGAAATACCAGGTTCCGTAGATACTGGCAGCTACATCAAAGACTAGGCAAAGGGACACGCCTGTGCTAACACCACCACCCTGGATAAGAATAAAAAGGGTATCCAAATTGGCCGCGGCATGTATATGTCGCCTAAACCAGGGGACTTGTATGGCCCTTACAAATGGCCACGATGAAGGGTCCTTTATCTTTGCCAGAGAAGGCCTACCCTCTGTGAAAATTGCGTCGTTCTGGTAGATCCTGTGTCTGAAGACGTGCCAAAGGCGTGGATCCTGGAGTTTGACCATGGAGGCTGCTCTCGTACAGCCCAACATTCTTCAATCGTGCACCGGGAATAGCGGATCCCGAGCCCCTGGTTTAAATTCAGCACTGGTAATTGAGTCAAAATGCCGGAAGACCCTGCGCCAAGCAGAATTGGTCAAGATACTCGACATGTATGAAGAGGAGAATCCCGTTGTGATATGGAAGCACGCTGTTATCGTACAGCACCGGGTGGCAATAGCATAACCTTTACAGAACGCCAATGGTCACTTTAGGAAAAGCGAGGGTATGCTTAGCTTATTCACAACACCAACTATGGTCGTTCTCTTCGGGAATTGAAGTGTAGTTCATTACGTATCTCTTTCTCTGGCTTCAGTAGTCTAGCATACAAAAGCTGATAGCCAGTTTGAAAAGACCAACCAAATTGCAAATATCAATTCCTCCAGACGGATACCTCCATCACATCTGTTCTTCAGGCTTCATTTCAGTTACTGTGGCAGTATGCCGCTAAATCTTTATGTACCTCGAGGATTGTGTATTAGCTATATCAACAACCAACTACCTTATTATGCATGGCGCTTCTTCCTCTTTTTCTTCTTCTTTTTGCCACACGATATGCGTAACTGGCGGTGTATGTTGTCTATGTTATTGTCTTCAATTTACTTCGTCATCTTTGGCTGCTTCGTGAAGCAGCGCCGCTTGGTGTCTCACTGGGAGTTTATTCGCCGACATCAATATGAGCCGTTATTGCCGGGCTGGTTCTGGATCAGGCGGAGATGAATGGCAATTGTCGCACTGTACAAGAATAGAAGTTTTCTATTACCTGTACTCCGTACATGTGTCTCTGATCCTGTGGCCGAGAATTGATTATACTATGCTCAACAATTCCTGAGAGACAACGTGACAACTTGACAACACAGTCGATATTGGTTCCACAAGCATGCATTGCCTGATTGAATACGGTATATTGTGCCGGCAACAGTGTCCGAACAAAAGTTTCAAGTCCGAAGTCCTTTTCTAAATGGACGGGCGCCACTCTTCCCCGGTTGAAGAGGGATCTTCAGACAGGGATAAAGGATGAATAGATCCAAAAAAAAAAAAAAAAAAAAAGACCGGCATTGGACCTCACAGGCTATTCAGCCTCATACTTCCTGAAAGTTAAAATTACTCATACTAGGACTGGCCAATGCATGCGACTATTGAATATAGACTTAAAACATATGGTCATGCGAAGGCTGCCAACGCGAGGCGACAACGGTCAACGGAACCTGTATTGCCCGGCATGTTGTCAGTTCGATAGAGCGTGAATTATCACTGTTCCGACAGGCATTCCGATGTTTCGGGGTAGCTCCGTAGACAATCGAGATCTGGAAGCCGTGATATCATCGGGCCCCCTATTCCTTTGACCTCTGTATTGCCAGTATGTATTCCCTACAGGGCTCTTTCGATGTCTCAATATTCAGTCGGACTAGCCCGCATCCATGATTTATCCATTACAACCGATCTTCGTCTCAATTACCCTGTACCCTATTCTGAACTACATACGCACAGCCACCGTTAGTACCTGATTGCTCCGATGCACTACGGAAGTACCTCGGCACAACCCTGGAGATATCTCGAACGGAGCCAACGGTAGACCGCCGCGAGTCAAGACAATGTCTCACCACAGCCCGGGATCGTCAGGCCATCACATCGATTTGAGTATGGGGTACTTCTGATAATTTCTCAACGGGGATAGCTACTCCATAGGGCGCTATAAATTTACCCTTTATGGTGCAGACCTAACCGGTTAGAGGTGTTTCTACCGCCTTCCATTGTGGGTCCATAACGGGACCCTGGGTTAATTATAGCTAATTATAGCATACGATAGTGGTTAGCTTCATGATTCCCTAATTTGTACATAGGATGCCCGGTAGCTCGATCGAAAGTATATAAGGCCGGTATCCCCCATCGAAATCAACACCATCATCAACAGCAACTCCAATCCTCTACAAACAAATTCTATATTTTCAAACCTCTCTTCCAAACAACCTTCAAAATGCAGCTCAAGAACCTCATCCTCGCCGCCTCGGCCGCCGCCACCGTCTCTGCCGCTCCTGCCGAGGGAAAGCCCTTCGGTGTCCTCGCCATCCACTCCGGCAGCGGCGTGCAGAACAGCGGCTTCAACGCTGCCAAGGGTAGCCTCTTCGCTGGCCTCACCTCCCAGAACGCCAGCTGCGCTCGTCCCGAGGACGGCCAGACCGCTACCTTCTACATCAAGGACAGTGCTCTCTTCCTCTACGACCAGTCTGCCACTCCCCAGGAGTTCTACGTTGACCGCTCCGGCATGGGTATGTCAATACCACCATCCTTTTTGATTTCTGATGAATGCGTGCTAACAAAATGTACAGGCCAGGGCAAGATCGGCTACACCACCGGCGCCCAGCAGCCCCCCAAGAACGCCGAGCAGAAGGGCTGGTCCATCAGTGAGCAGAACTACCTCCAGTTCGACGGCAGCAGCCCGATCGCTTGCCCCAACAGCATCGACGGGGCCTACAGCATCTGGGCTTCGACTGGCGTTAACAACCCCGCTGGTAACAAGGACTGTGTTGGCATTGCTGCTCGTGTTCTGGAGAGCACCAACCCTAACGCTTGCAAGTACACTGAGTAAGCGGTTGTTGGATTGATTTATTTTGGGGACATGTTTGTACTTGAGTTATATTGAGTAAATAATTAGCATTTTGTTTTTTGTTGAGCTTATCAAAAATTGCTTTGCATATTTTTTTCCGACGTATAAACGTAGATCCTATCCCTGACTAGCAACAAATGTCGAATGACTCGACGGTTTATTCACAGCTACTGTGATGCGGGAGATCTCTCGAGCAAGTCACCATGTAGGGAAGTTGGTATTAGACATGTAGTTATGTGAGGTGAACGGTGTCCCCGAAGAGAAGCCCCTTTTCCCATCTTCTTCATCTTACCACTATTTACTGTATACCATTCTACACCAAGCAATCGTCAATCTATCTATTATCCAGCGTATATTATCTACATTATTTCAGCATATCTTTGCTATTTTCCCATTCCCTAGCCGTCTTCTATTACGTCTCCTGTCTGGGGAAAAAAAAAAAAAAAAAAAAAATGCCACGGACACTGTTGGATAGTGGCTACAGAAGAACAGCTCCATCAAATTTTTAGATACTATTCCTCGCTATAACAGTAAGCATCAATACAATAGTCGAGATTCACTGGTGTTCAGTTTGATAACCCGCCCCATGTTACTAGGTATACATCCAAGGCCAGTAGACTTCTATTTATGAAAAGGATACTGACCTTTTCACAGTACTAGATAACAATGTCCGGATACCACCACGAAAGTGCTCATCAGTACCCGACAGTAATACAGGGTCGTAACAGACGGCCATGAAGAACCGAGAGGACTAATCCCTCCGGTTCCAAAAGATGGTTCCAGCGAGAAACCTGGTTCTTGAAGGTCGCCAACGTCAAGCGACTCGAAATATTGTCTACAACTGACGGAACATGGTTGCATCAACTGATTGAATTTGGATATATCCAAACCAAGTGAATAGCAATGGGGGAATAAGATGACCCAAGCGCAGGACTGGCAGTGTCAAAAGTCCGCAATAAGATAAAATCTGCCCCGACTGCCACTTCGGTTGTTCTAAGGTAGATTTACATCCAATGTCTTACATTCATAGCACGAATAGACAGAGAGCACAAAAATAAGGAATCGAGGGAATCGTTTGATGGTGGTTATCCTGTCTGTTCTGACAGTTCTGTTTCATTTACTATGATGAGGTTGATCCCCTCATGTTGAGTACTATTAATATGAAGAAGTAACAGTGCTAGGATAAATCATTCTCGATCTTTCATATGCCTTCTTGAATTCATACTGCCCTGATCGGTTATCTAAGCCATTTGTCATTGATATGCCATAACTAGCAATAATTTGCTGCGATACATATATCACAGAACATCTTCAACAAAAGTCTGAATAAAATAGTCCAACCCTTCTGATATTTAATTTTCCTTATTATCACCTTCCTCCAATTTATTGACATTAATCAATAATCATCCTCTTTTATGAATCTCATAAATGAATGGGTTGTCTCAGCATAACATCCGATCCCCGCACTAAAAATCAAGCGCAAATCTTGGGATCCTCGATTTCTGCCCTCAAAAACCACGCGATACCCACAACTTCCCTGCAGATCCCTCCAACGCCTATGGAAAAGATGGTCTCCCTACCAGCTGAAGTGATCCAGCTTATTGTTGCTCTTATAAGAGATGCACCACCACCAAAGAAACCACGCAGTCCATTTGAGAACCGTGCAAAGCCCGCAAAACTCGCCCAGTACGCGATCGTTTCGCGGCAATGGCAAGCAATCGTGGAGCGCATGATTTGGCAACAAATCACCATCAACAAGAAAGGCTCACTTGAACAGCTAAAGGAGTTCACATCCGGTGACTCTTACCGACGCGCGAAAGCGGGTTATATTCGACACATTCTCTGGTCGCCTGAGATCAATAGGCGGGATCTGTATGCAAAGACTCAGGGGGATGATGACGTCCGTGTACAGCTTCTTCCAGATTGGTGTCTTCAACAATGTCAGAGCTCTATTCTTGATCTTTTTGAACTACTAGATGCATGGAAAGATTACCAGACCAATATGGAATTGTCGCTTTGGCTGAGTGGTGACGATTATCTCGATGTTGGTGACGATGAAGAGATCGAGCAGGAGGAATGGGAGTCTCTGAATATCGACCAGCTGTGGGCAAAGGGTAAAGTCCCCAATTTTCTGCATCTGACTGCAGATGATATTCAGAATATGCCCACTTTGCCGTATATTAGATGCTTTAGATTACACGAAGTTAGAGACAGCAATGTTCGACCATCAGCTTTCTTTCGCTTTCTCAGTCGCTTTCCCCATGTTCAACATGTTTCTAGCGGAGAGGGTCGATTTGTCCCACGAGGAGCTCTACAGGCTTTGGCTGATCAGCGACAAGGTATCTCCCTTTCTCATCTATCGATATTGTACAGACTATTCATGCCGTGCAGAGGTTGTCGACCATCTATCACTGCTTCCTGAATCAGTAGAAACATTCACATATTCAATCTCAGCGCAACGTGAATTATCAATTAATCCCGCTCGCAATGCAGCCAATTATCTTTCTTCACAAGGACTAGACGACTTTTCTATTGCTTTTCGAACTCTCAGCACGCGACTCCGGGAACTGCATCTCAAGGACGTCCGAATCAGCAGTGCATTATTCTGGCCAGTAGCTGAAGAGAAGGTCGACACGAAGTATCTATATTGGCCAAACCTGGAGGTCCTTAAGGTTCTAGAGGCCCCTCCGTATACAGCTGATGGTATGTTCTTTCAGGTATCATTGTGTGATATTTTTATTAACCTGATAAGGGAAATGGATCCTCGACAACGACCCCGAAAAAGACTGGGAAGGAGATCTGGAAGAAGATTCTTTTGAGCCATGGCAATACGATAGTGAATACTATGCTCAACGAGGACTCATCAAGAGCTATGAAGTCGACCAGCTCTATGAGTCAATGGGCCTCGCTGTGCAGAGAATGCCACGCTTGCGGAAATTGAGATTCTCATTCCGAGGAGAAATTGGAGAGAGGGGAAGTCATGAATACTTGGAGTTCGAGAGAGATTTGACGACAGGCAAGAGTACATTGAAGATCAGCACTGAGTGGGAGTATAAGATGGGGGAGAAAGTTATATCTGCTTGGGGATTGAAGGATGAGGAGGCGAATGAGTTTTTGGAGACTTGGTCTGTTTCGCTCGACCAATGGCCTTAATTGCACTACCAGGTAAAATTCCATATATTCTCAAGGCGGTCTTTACGTACCAATCACGGTCAATAATCTGAAGCATTGTGGATTGAGAAAATGTGATTGAATTATATAAATCCATAAACTGTGATATTCCAAGTACATGCAGTACATACAAACCCTCAACGACGATTCCCTCTATCCAGATGTATAACCCTCGATGATCCCATCCCATACTCCTTCAAATCCATATTCATAATAGAACTGAATGTGTCATTCAGCCTCTCCCTTTGAGTCTCGAATGGTTCAATATTCGGATCTGCACTGGCAGGTGTGAGTGGCCATAGAATATCACACCCCTCTATAGGGCACCCACGCGAGTCATGTGAGTGCCAGGAGTTCACACCACCTCGCACCCTTTAGGGGCACCCACCCAACTACTGACCGCACACAAGCCACACGCCAGCCGGTTAGTAGTTGAGTGGGTGATCACCAGTGAATCCCGGCTGTTGTATGTTTTTGTTTTTGCCTCACTCACGAGCGAAGCGAGCATATACAGAGGGAAGAAAGTGAGGTGTAGTATTTTGAACCATTGATGGGCAGCTATATTGGGGTGTAAAAGGGAGATCTAATAATAGCTGAGAAATCAGACATTGGCAAACTATGAGCAGACCTGGATGAATTCACTGCCGGAAGAAATCACGATTTCCATGGTTCACTCGCAGTTGAAAAGAGAAGCCTACACTGGAACTGAAACTGTTTGACGAAAAAGCGAATCACAACACAGAAACGCCTGCGATCAACTGGAAAAACTTTCCTTTCTCCGTGCAGTCGACTCCTCCCTTGACCCTAAAAGCAGGGAATACTACTTCATTCACTTGACATTTCAAGAATACTTCGCGGCCCAATACTTTGTGAGGCATTGGAAAGAGAAAGAGCCACTGGTGTCAGTCATCTTTGGCACCCAACACCCAGTGCAAGTCAGCCCGGATCAGTTTGTCGAGTGTGAAAAGTACAACAGACATTATCATGTCATGTGGCGGTTCGTCACAGGGCTTCTCCAGACCGAATGTGAAAGTGTCCTTTATCCATTCCTACAAACAAATGGCTCGTACCTTACCTGGATTATCCGTTTAAAAATCAGAAAGCGGCTGAAGTCCTCGCCAATCAAAAAAAGCCTGCCTCTGGATATCCTTAAAACTTCGGTACTGCATCTCGAATCCAGCACCATAGAAACAAGGCACGCCGCTGAAAAGGCATTGAGACACAAAAGCTTCCATTCCTTACTCCCGCATCTGAGTGCCGAGGAATGGGTATCGTGGCTCAAAGTACTTCGAGAGAGAAATTTCAAGGAAAGCATAACTTGTTTCGTGACGGAGGGTAACCTTTGCGTTGAGATTCCAGGGGTTTCCTCGGAAATCAATATCAGGGATTGTGATCAAAGGGAAAAGCTACAGAGAGCGCTCAAAGTCCTGGACGAAAGAAATGGTGAAGTCGCTTGATGGCGTTTTTGAACACCTTGGCTTTGAACCCGAGAGTTCCGAGGACCGAGTATATAAAGAAGATGTAGACATATATCTGAAATGGTGCTGCTATATGCTTGCTTTGGATTTGGATTAGCTGGTTGGAGAATAGACTACTTTTATGATAGCCTGTTCTAGTGGATAAATGGTTGGATTCCTAGATGGTTGCTTGCTATTATGTATGTATACAGGCCATCCCATGGTTGGCACTCAATTACATGTTTCCGAGGGTATATAATTATAGAACAGCTTCTGCTATCAACGATTCTCTCTACATAGAGAGATGGTTGGCGCAGCGGGTGATACCAAGCTGTTGGATCAAAAAATCATTGGTAAATTGGCACTTCGGATCCTGGCGCTCCTGAATATCTAGAAATTCAGGCAGCTTTGGGAATTTCTCTTGGATGTAGGTGGCGTTTGGAGGGGACATCTTGTTCCAATGGGAGCGAACATTGTATGTCTCACCAAACCGGGGGAGAAACTCTTCAGCCAACGCCTGGTTCTGCCACAGAGTGGTGAAGTTGTTGTATGTTTGCAGCCAGTCGATCTCGAGGACTCCAAACAATCCACTACTCTCGGGTCCAAGGTTGTAGGTGTTGGCTGGGGAAAGATAGGTGTCGTCGCCCTTGAGGATCCGGTATTGGAAGATCATCTGCTCGTTGTAGGGAGCCTTCATGCGAGGTGTCTGGTTTTGCTGGAATACAGTATAGTTGGTTGCGAAGTCCACGAGATGCTCGATGGGGAAGAAGTGTTCGATCTCAGCGTAGAATTCGTTCGTACACAGGCCCGCTGCGGGACAAGAGACGGCATCCGACACTTCATCATAGCAGATATAGTTCTTCTTGCAGTCACCACAGCCGTTGGCACAGTAATTCAGCGTGCAGTTCCGCGTGCCCGTGTAGTTGGTTGGTTCCCACCAAGAGGCGAAGTAGGTGGGTTCAATCTCCCAGTCCTGCACCTTGTCATCCCAGTCGAAGTGCGGACCCCAGACGGTCAGGCGGTCATGGTCCTTATACAACTGCGCAATTTCCCCGTACATCTGGGAGTAGTTGGTCGTGGCATTCAAGACCTTGGTGGTCTTCTTGACAAGATGGGTCGGCTCGACCTTGATGGTCAACTCGGTGATCAGACCAAGAGCACCAAGGCTGACTCGGAAAGCTTTGAGATCTTCGCCGGCGTTGGTGGTCTCGTTGATAATGCGGAGATTACCCTGCGAGTCCAGGACACGCAATCCTATCACCTGGGTTGCCATATTTCCGAGGGAAGATCCAGTTCCATGAGTACCGGTGGAGACAGCACCCACAAAGTTCTGGACCCGCATTGCACCAAGGTAGTTGAACGACAGTCCATTGGCCTTGAGCTCGTTAATCAGGTCATAGACATCCCAACCAGCTCCGAAAGTGACAGTCATGCTCTCCCTGTCGATATGGAGATGGTTCAGGTTGGTAAGGGAAACAATGTATGAGGGCTTCTCGGTACGACTAGTATCAACACATGTGGTAAGGTTCCCAAAACCGTGGCCATTGCCGACTACTTTGATCAAGGAACCTCTCGAGTACTGCTCCCTGAGGAACGAAGAAGTGGCGTTCTCATTCTCGGGAGCAATGTAAGCGTCAGACTCGCAAGTGATTTCGGATTGCCAGTTAAACCATCGGTAGGCAGAGCCAAATACTGCGTGCAGCAGCACCAGCAAGAGCGGTACCTTCAATCCAATCATTTTTGGATTAAGCTATGAGTATTCCCAGTCAATCTGGTGGTCCAACCATAGAGGGGATTGGGTTGGTTACCTTGATTTCGGTGAAATCGCTGCCGGGACGTTTTCAAGGGGTGGCCTGTACAGAAAGGTTTTTGGGTGTAGCCCATGAGGGAGACATGACACCTTATATCCATACCATCATGGCACTCGAGTCCTTTCCGTCCCCTTCTCATTGGCTAGTACGAGCTCGGTGAGCGTAATAATCGGAAAGTGCATTTGTCTTATGTCTCCCACATGGGATGTTTGACACATACTAAAACAGTCCTCCAAAGCATGGTCATAGCATATCGACCTTAACCACTGTATTGGATAAATGGCGTGGGATGATAAGATGTTGAATGCCGATCTTATCTATCTTTGCTTAGGGTTAGCAGGTTCAGCCGTCTGTCAACCTTGGCTCTGTAGAAAATTTTGACAGATGAAGTTAGACATTTCATTGTACCGAACATAAGAAGTTCCACAATCCCTGGCGGAAATTTGTACTCCGTACCTGAGCACTGCAGATAGTCCTGCGGGTCCGTCAATCAGCATCCAGTGACACGACTCGGCGTGCCGTTATCGGCGAGTTGGCACCCTGCCGCGTTCACCAGCATGGCTCGGATGGCCCGATATAAGACGAGTTCAACCTTCCTGGCTCGGATTATCGGTCCGATAAAGACAATTGAATGAATGATAAGATCGTCTAAATATAATTAGACTCCGGCGTCCTGCTGATTGATGGTGGGATCAGGCCATCACCTTTCCCCTATTAGAAAAACGGGACTCAGCTCATCGAATGTAGAGAATTTCTTGGCATTTTTCTACATATGCCGAGCTCTCCCGAGATTTTACCGTTGGTAGAGCACTACTTTTTCTACCGGCACACTCCGCATAGAGAATTTTCTACCAACGCTGAGCTGGCACCCGATCGCATTTCAGCATATGCAAAAGTTATGCTATAAATATTTCCAGTGTATGTTTTGTCATTACACTAATTATTATTATTATTTTTTTTTTTTTTGCGGTCGTGACCTCCTACACTACTTTCTATACTCTGTACTTTGTACGAAAATAGGGCTTCAAATAGAAAGAAATGACAATACACTAAGCATATGCAGTAAATACTCTCAAAGTGTACTCTGTATAGGTTTACTGTGCTCAAAGAGTTGCCTAGGTGAGTTGTTTTTGTGATGCCATTACTATGGGATGTTGTATACAACAACAGAAATATATGTTCACTCACTCACTAAAAACATAACAAACACCCATTTTTTCTTTCACATTTCTTTCTCCATCTTCTTCATTTTCCTCTTTATCTTCCTCTTCATCTTCTCCTCTACCACTACCAACTTCACTGTGAGTGCATATCCTACCAGACATCTAGGATTGACATACACTATGCCAATCAACGCTGCTGAGTACGTCAACCCAGAAGTGGATAATGCCGCCAATCCCTCCACCTTTGGCTACCACTATGGTGAGTCAGGGACACTCTGAAATGCAGTGCATATGCTAACTACAAGCCAGGCCCCATTCCGAATCCCAATCCAGGTTGATTCTGGACGTAAGTTAGGGACAGTGCCTGTATGGATCAAGCATATGCTAACTGTGTATATACAGAGCCAAATGTGACCACTGCCAGCAATGCTGCAGCGCCCAACCCTGCCTCTCACCAGTCCAAGGTCCACGGCAGCGTGTATGTACACCAGGCATATGCAGAGAAGGAAAGAAGCTGATTCTATGTATACAGGTGCAATGTGGCTGTCAATGGTGGTGAGGTGTGTGGTGTCTCTATTGGTGGCACTGCTGTATACTGGCGCCATGTGTGATGCATGCATCCAGGTACTGGTAAGTTGCTATTCAGTGTATGGTTTGCATATGCTGACACCATTCCAGTGCAGAATCTCTCCCGCCAGAATGTGCGCATTCAGGAGCTTGTGGCTGGCCAGAAGTAAGTATATGTGGTACAGAGTGCATGCTAATGATATTCAGTGCCTTGAAGCATTGGGTCCGCTCCCAAGGTTGGCGAGACGCCCGCTATGCGCATGAACCTGGATAAGTAATATAGTCCAAGCATATGCACAGTGCTAACTGGAAGCGGCCATGGACCTGCTTGTGGTTTGCTGGATTTATATGCCACTTAATTGGAGCAGCTGGCATAAGTCTCTCTTCCCTCATTGTCCTGAGCCTCTACTGGACATATGCTAACCATAAACAGCTGTGAAGATGCCCAGTTCGCCACCATCTGATACATCAGTCATCTTCGAGTGCACGCGACGCGTCTCCATCATCCTGACCTATGTTCAGCATATGTCGCGCATAGCTCCAGCACAAGGGAAAAATATACTCGCCTCAGGCAAATTGATACCATTGAGAAAACGAATGATCCGATCAATAGGCTCCTGGTCGGTCATACTGGTGGTGTTTGACGGGGATGTGTAGGAGGGATTAGGAGTCTAGTAAGAGTTTAGTGATAAATACAGGAAGAAACATGTGAAAACCACACTATTACGGGGGTAAATTACTACAGAATTGCATAAGTCCACACTGAATTTCTAGTTTACACTGAGTTCTTCCTTCCAGTGTGGTTATTTAGAAGGTATCTGTAGGGTGGTACAGGCAATTTCTAGATACATGTTATGGGAATTGTAGACATTAGACTTTGCACCAAGACACTTGATAGACACCATGTCCCCATTTGACCAAGTCTTTGTGTCCCTTGTAGGCCCATTCAACCTTGGGTATCTCAGACATGTATTTACCCAAAGCACAGAGACACACAGAGCATAGCGGAGGATCGTACGTCACTGCCAAGTTCGATGCCAATATAGTTGCAGGTAAGCAAGGCTTCTGGGGGTGTCTAAGTATGTACTGACTGATGTGATTCAGACATATATTCCAGGTTGAAAAGCACATGGCAACAACAGACCTCCGAGCGGGCTCGGTTGACATTGGACATCCTGCGATCTCGTGTTAAAAAAAAAAAAAAAAGCAGGGCCATTGGCGGCACAGGACTCAGCAAGGGAGGATACCATCCGTGACAAATACATGGATCGGCTTGATGACCTGCAAATTGCAGAGATTGGATTGAATCTGACTGACTTGACTGCGTTGCATAACAACCAGCCAACCGTGGAGGACCAGCCAACTGATGACAACCAGCCGACTGTGGAGAATGGGGAATGATAAAATTAATATAACGTAAACGGGGTTGATTAGCAATGGGACAGTCAGAAGAGGATGAATGTACAGAGTATGTCAATAATATTCAATAGTGATACTACACTGAGATGAATCGTTATGATAAACATGTCTTTTAATGAAGAAATACTATGTACATAAACCACGAATACAATTCCTGGTATACTAGGTACTTACCTGTATATTGCACACCAAGCTTTCATATGCTACGTTGTATAGTATAGAAATAACATTTCATGGCATACAGCATCTAATGAAGTATAGATAGGATGTGTATGTTTTCTATAATAACTTGAATACATTGCTTCCAATCGCATGAATTGTTGTTGAAGTGCGTCAGGGTATATGAGTAATGAATACTATAATAATACAAAAGATTGTAAATGTTGTCCTGGAACCAGGTAGTATCACTGATGTTGGGTGGACGCGCTGTGTTAGCAGGGTACACACAAGGATACACTGGAGTATCGCCGCGATTGACATGGCCTTAATTAGCGCCGCGATAGCACGGCGGCCGCTGTAAAGGAAAAAAAAAAAAAAAAAAAAAAAAAACGGTTGTCACTATTCCTCTGTCTCAGTTATTACTATTCCTCCTTGCACATACCCACCGCAGTTTTTATCAAGCTACCGTCATAGTGTGGCAGTACCTGTTATTGGACCTGTTATATTACGGCTACTTCGCGCTTTTCGTTGGAAGCCAAGATTAACTATACACATCTCCCCGGAGCGGAGTTCTCGCTGCGCAATGACCTGTCATTTGACCTAGTCGTTGCACGGCTCAAAACTCCTCGAGAATCTGTTCCATCTTCGATTCCGCAGACACCGTATTGTAAAAATCCTGTGCTAGGCTTTCTGCTGGGGATTGCTTTATTGTGCCCATCTTGAAAGTTGCGCGGTCCCGACGTGAGACGATTGCCTCTTGCACCAGTGTCCTCTTCGGCAATTAGGTCTCTGAGTACCATATATTCTGCGGTTAGTCGCTCTCTCACAAGATTCTCGTAGTGATAGATCCCTCGAGATCATGTCCCATATCTCTGGTTCATTGAGACGAGCAAGATATTCACAGGATAGCTATTATAACGCACTTATACGACTCAGACCCATTTGCCATTAGCTACGTAGAGTCTGTAATACTAGTGGAACTTCAATCATCCTATTCCCAAGTGGTTCCACAGATTTTCACAATTTCTGTCACTTTCCCTCTCTGGGTTTTGCTGCTCTAATGAGAGTGCTTAGGGCCTGTTCAGTGCGTAGTCATGTGGCTCCTGAGCTACTCGCTCTTTACTTTTGCGTGTCCATAACCATTTCACCTGCTGGTGATAGATAGAGGGCGCTTGTGCCTGGTCAGATTCGAATCAGCTGCGTCGGTGTGTTCGAGACATATGTTTGTTTCCGTTGTCACGCTCTGATTCCCTATCTCTTTTCTCTCCGCCAGATTGGACGATTGGTCTTGAACCGGAACATGAGTGATGAACCAATTCCCAGATGCGGGGTGCGTTATAGCTAATTGATATAGCCCAACAACTACTTCACGGATATCGAGCAAGCTGCGTTCTCGCCGTCCAACATGGTTCCGGGATGGGCAGTGGAAGGGCTCATATATTGATGCTGAAGAAAGTCGCAATATGTGGTATGACCCAAATACCAAGCCCTGGCCCGAAGGCTCCCTCACAGCAAAGATTGAACGTATGCGTCCTGAATGTGACCTTGTTGAGCGACAACATGTACTCTCTATTTTGACTAGAGGGTTCAATTACTGTCCTGAGGAACTGCCTACCGCGACACAATTGTTGCAAGATGCTTCATTTAGGGTTATCATGGACAAATACGGCTGTTGATGTCATGTTGTACTTGGCGAGATATCCAACTTTTCATTTTGTTTAGCCATGATGGGTTGGTAAAGATCCCGAGCTCCTCATTAGAGCGTAGTCTAAGGTACTTGTGGATTCTCTAAAGGCCCGCTTCCAATAAACATGTACATAAAATATAACACCATAAACTCGTATAATGCTCTCCCAACGGCTCCCAGCTTAGTCTTCTCGTACGCACCACCTTTCTCCTTCCTCATCTCTAGCGTGAGCCCGTACGGTGGTGCCGTGGGTGACTAAACCGGATCCAAACTGACATGATCCAGTGGCAGAGCATACGATAACGAGGCATCCCAGTCTCCGCGCTTCCTTTGGGCAGTCCTTGGCTGGCTTGAGTTTGGTTGGGTCAGACCAGTTGACTGCTGAAACTGCATTGGTTTGTAATTCGGTCTAGATAGATTCCTTGATGAATTTGCTGCTCTGCTCTCCAGTTGGACACTTCCTCTGCCAGGTGTGTCTGTACCTGTTTCAGGACCATCTGTGTCTGGGCTGCCTCTTAAGACCCCCACCAATACCGCGGCGTGTACCTCAAACTAAGTGCGTCCCACTGTACATAGATATAATACTGGTAGGGTGAAAAGATTTTTTCTTAACAGTTATCGCCCTACAAAATGCTAGACTTCCAATTGACTGAATGATAAGATCGTCTAGATATTCATTGACAATGATGCGCACTCCATCCTGGAGACTGTTCCCCAAGAACACACTAACCATATTTGGCTAGCCTGTTTCCATAAAAAAGGAAGGGACACCAAGTATTCGAGGCCAAGTTCGCTTCTCTGGGGTGAACTTTTCTATCGCAGTGGTTTTCTTCTTTGACATTGACAAGCAGGAATGTTATTCCTACACCCGGAATCCCCAAGAAGCTGAATGTTTCAGGTAACTAATGAGCATGTATATATTGCCGATTGCCTGTATCTCCATTCTCTGATAGCCCTCTTCCGGCATGAGGAGATTGCCATGAGCCACGGAATTGTGGAATTGACTGATATTCGACCATTCAGAAAATGACCCCAGAGTTTCCGGCGCTAGCCGTGGAGAAGAAGTCAATTAGAAATGTAAACATGACAAAGCAGTGGAGTTCGATCTCTCACGTAACAGTTTCCTCTGGCGCCGTCTCTTCCGAATTTATTGACATAACTAGTCAGCTTACCCCTCGACATTCGGCCATGTTTTGCCCTCGTAACCGCCCAGATAAATGTCATGTCTTGTATCATCGGCTGCACGGCAATTAGAAAGGAGCCAAGACTCCAGTCTAAACCTTGAAGCCTCCGCATCTTCCTCCCCGCTAACACCCCACAAGGCGGGTGGCAATATAAAACAACAACAACAACAACATCATCATCATCATCATCATCATCATCATCATCTCTCGAGCTGCACAATTAGGTAAGAGAAGGCTGTCTCATCTACGCGATACAAGGGGTAGCACCTCTTCCGTGAAATTCCGACACAGGTCGGGAGACGCCAGATCGACTTGGTAAATCAGGAGATCCCCCGCTGATAAGGGGGAGTTATTTCAGGAGCTTGGCTTAGATTCCCCCCTTGCCGTAAGGGGATGAATTAGTTAGTATCATAATACGGGGTGCAGTCCTCCGCGTGAGTGCTGTGGAACTGAACGAGGGGGCTGGTGTGTACATCACGTGACTCAATAGTGTCATGTGATGATCCATGTGATCAGCGACAGCAGCGGGGCAGAGATAGCCGATATTTGCCATCGGATTGTCGTCTTACCATTGGTCAGGGGCTGTATTACCATAGAAGAATAAGGAGTAGTGCGGACTGATGCTTATTGGTTCTGTATTACTTGTGCCTGTACGGAATGCTAGTAGTAGTACTCTGGAGCTGCGATTGCTTATGCTCAATAGAGGAACTCCTGGAGATCTTGGCTCTTGGCAGACGGAGATCCGCTGCATTACAGCACTATGGCGAATAGCTTAATTTGGAGCTCTTTTCGATTGCACTGGAGTGTGTCTTACTTTGAACCAACAGGTGAGAGTACTCTGTAACCAGGGTACATGGATATACTGTCATATCTGTAGTAACCTGCTACAGTCACTGCCTATGGGCTACAGCTACGCAGTGACATGGTTACATAACTGATCTGTAGGGTTCCCAAAGAGGTTAGTGTCAAACGTTACTGGGTCCGGGGTAAGACACTAACCCAATCCGGCCAAGACAGCTTAATAGCCTTGGCCACCGTACCATAAAAACACCAGTAGTATCAATAGTTTGTTGGAGTATATTGAGAGGTAATACTATATATACTATATATTATTTACTATTTACTAATTGTAGTATATGCTCACTGTGTAGTGCAGGCTGACAGTTGGCATTATGTCATGGAATGCCACGCCACGGATCTGCTGCAGGAGTGTCATTCGCCGGGGAGATCACGGGATCACGCAGTCATAGTACAGTAGTCTTTAGAGGGAAAAAGCAACAATATTGGCGTTAGACTACGCGGAAATACATGAATATAACTGGACGGAATCAAGTATACTTACATAGTAAAAGTACCATTCTCATCTCCGACGCTGTTCCGCCGGACATCGGTCTCTGGCCCACGGTTCTCCTCTACCTTCCCTTTAGGCTCTCGCTCAGTTTCTGCTTTTATTATTATTTTTTTTTTGTTTTCCTGCATTTTCTTCGCTATTTAAGCGATTTCTTCATTCTTTGCACTCCATCCTAGACATAATAGGATCATATACTACTACTACTGATTTCATCCACCCGTTTCCGTGACTAACACTTTCCGCCGCCCCTCTTCGCCCCGTTCTTTTTTTTTTTTTTTTTTTTTTTTTCCCTCCTCCGGTCCTCATTCTTCTTCTTCTTCTTCAACCTCTCACCACACTCTTTTTTCTTTTCTTTTCTGTATTACTCCTTCCGATCTGCGTACGACAACTGGCAGCACTAACAACAGCATCAACCCACTAGAATCATCCCACTCCAATATAAAAAAGAGTCGAAGCTCCCCTCCGCTTCGCTCTTTTTCCTCCCACCATGTCTTCCTCCGCCGCCCCCTCCGCCACCGTCGCTTCGGCCTGCGCTTCTCACCACCATAAACCCTCCTTTTCTCGTTTCACCACTGCGCCCGCAGGCTATTCTGCTACTCAGGAGGGTGTCCCTCACTCTCCCCGAGACGAATCGCCCCAGATCTCCAACTGCTCTTCTCCGGACGGATCGCGCTCCAGCAGTCGCCGCCGTGACTCGTTTGGCTCTATCAAGGAAGACGTCGACGGTAAGTTTTTTTTTTTTTTGTTTGTGGGCTTACAATTCAAGAGGAGAAAATTAATGGTTTCCGAAGGCGTCGCGCAGTCCTTTGTCGACACCCATATCGACCACCCCCCGAACGAAGAACCCGCCAAGCCCAACGTCTCGGAAATGCTCCAGCAAGCTCCCGACTTTTGTTGTCCCTGTGGTGGCTTTTTAGGATGGAAGCAAATTCGCCTTGGCGGGAAGAGTCTGAGCCGGAGCTACAGTGATCTCCGGGCGCTCGGGAGCTTGCAAACTCGTGGATGGGCCTGGGAGACTGCTCCCGCCTTAAGTGACGCTCGTCCTTCCTTCTCCAAGGAATTGAAGCCACCGCAGCCACAGCAATTGCAACCTGTGCAGCAGTTGGAGCCTCAGGAAACCCAGCCGCCCCGCCGCACATCGGCCCTGGAGAGACTCCCTCCTGAGGTTCTTGGTATGCTTCCTCTCTTAAATATCTCTCTTATTATTTCAAGCTAACTTTTTTTTTTTTTTTCCCAGATGTAATTATCTCCGACTTGGCAGTGGACATCCCTCCCAATGGCTTCACCCCGCGGAACGTCGACTTGGTTTGCTGCCTCTTGGCCTCCCGCACGTTGCACGCCGCCACCCTCGGTGTTTTGTACCGCAACATGACCTTCCCCCACTCGATCGTTTTTTCCAAGGGTCTCAACCACCTGACTCAGTATCCCGCCCTGGGAACCCTCGTCCGTCGACTTGACTTTTCCCACTTCACCTCTGTCGGTCTGGGTCGCACCAAGCAGATGAATGCTGAGATTCAGAATCTTACTTCTCGGACCCTGCTGCAATGCCTGAACCTTTTGCCCAACCTCAGGGAATGTTTGCTCCAGGAGCACGTGGAAGGTGACATCAGCATCGAGATTCTGCAGAAGTTGTTCTTTGGTTTACCCAACATGAACGCCATCGACTTTTGCGGCTGTTCCACCCAGTCCTTCTCGACCATCTTCCTTGAGGCCTTGACCACTGTCTCGCCTCTTCCCCCAACTCTGCCCAACTTGAAACGCCTCTCGCTCCATGAGTGCAGCAGTCTGTCGGCAGAAGCTTTCGAGCTCCTGCTTCCCCGCTTGGTCAACGTCACCCACTTGGACCTCACCCACACCCTGGTCACTGAGGAGGCGCTTCTGTCCATCCCAAAAACGGCCCGGATCACGCACCTGAGTCTGTCCCGCTGCACACGCCTGCGTGGAAACACCTTAGTCCACTTCTTGACTACTCATCCTGCCGTGCGCGACTCGCTCGTTTTCTTGAACCTGCTCACGGATGCGACCCGCTACCGCACTCTGGACGAGGATCATCTCCACGCCTTGCTCCCCAAGTTGCCGTCTACGCTGCGCTCTTTGAACCTGGGCGGTGCCAAGGTCAGCTCGGAGCACACTCGCTTACTTCTGCCCTTGACCAAGCATCTGGACGAGCTTGGGTTGAGTTCGGCCGATCTGACCGCCAAGGATCTGAACACCTTCTTTGCTCCCCCGTCTCCTCCTCCTTCTCACTTGACGGGAGAACAGGATGATCAAATGGCCATTGACCAACCTCCGGCCCCGCCGGCATCGGAATGGGTTCCCCCGTCTCTGGCCTATATGGATCTCAACAAGGTTCCTCAATTGACGATTGGCACCATTTTCAACACCAACACCTGCTTGTTGCTCTCGCAGCAGAGCTACCCCCTGCAGGTCATTGAATTTGGTGACAAGATCATCGCTCCCTTGCGCGAGCGCACCAAGAACACCAAGTCCTCCTCCGGCTGGATGATTCGTGAACTGGGTCGACGTGGATGGTACGTCCGTGACCCCGACTCGATGCCCTCGCGCCTATCCGACGACGGCTCTCGCTCCTGGAAAATGGGCGCCCGTTGGTGGGGAATGAGAAAAATCCCCGTTGCCGTCGGAGACGTGGGAGGCATCTATGGACATTACATGTTCAAAAAGTGACTTTTCTCCTCTCTTCTTTCTTTTCTTTTCTCTTTAATTTCTGCGAAGGCGTTACTTACGGTGCGGATTACTTGATCTCTGCTTCTATTACGGCTATATATACCAATACCCTTGCGTTGTGTTTCGCGTCGACAATGGCGGATATGGTTTTTGCTTTTCAGATGAAGGTTTGATTCGATGCATGTAGTTTCGTTTTCTTTATTTCGAGCGGATCATAATGGGAGTCAAGCGTTCAACGGAGGAATAAGGTATTGTGTTTGTTGGCAATGATTTGGTTGGTTTTCAGGATTTTTTCGTGTCTTTTTTCTTGCTCAGCGTTGTCATCTCGGTGTTTGTGCATAGCGGGTGATATCTCGTTCTAACGATATGGTTGTCTTTTTACTAATTCGTTTTATATGATGGTTCTCTCCGTGTCTTCTGTTCTTATATTTTTGCGATTTGGAGTTCCCTGGAATTTGCATAGGAGCGCAATCAGGTCTGTCAACGGTTCATCTTCTGTTCGGGGAGTGGATTTGTGATTTAACGATTGTGTATTTCTAAATTAACTTGCTATGATATCTTGAATTATAATCGTACTTGACTCATGACTCATGCACAAGGCTGTAGACTTGCCGCAGTCAATTGGATGCAGGTATTAGCGTATTTTGACCCCTAGTGGTCTCTTTATCTTCCTTCGCCTTCATAGTGCTTCCTTCTCTTTTCAGTTCACTTTTTGGAATTATTGACTGTATTTGATAACTGATGCATATTGAGCTTCCGACTGAATTGTGGGCGGAAATTTGTGAATTGGTAGGTTACTACTTTCTATTCCCTTTGCTGCCATCATACACTGACCTGTTGTTCCCAGCTACGGTGGGAGGATTTCGCGAGCTTGAAGAATCTCAGTGCTTGTTGTCGTCAATTGAATGAGATAGCTCTGCCGCTGCTCTTCCGTCAATTGACTGTGGTATGCCGTTATGTATCCCTACAACTTCCACGGATTTTTATCGAATCCAAGGCCTCTTTTCAGTTCCTGTATTCTATGGCAGCACCTCCAAAATCTCTCGCTCTTGAATCAAAATCTTGGTGAGCTTTTACCCGTTTTTGCCGATGCGATGACGGGCACAGGCGCATGGCCTACTTCAATCTATCGAGCTACGAGCGTCCAAAAAAGAAGAGTCCGACAAGTCAATCGCGGCCGCCAAACGCTTCCTTGAACGCATCACAGGCTTGTCCACATTTATTTGCTATGACTTTCCGCTGGAAATTCTGGAAACGCTTGCGCACTATCACCAGGGTTCTCTTAAGCACCTCCAATTCTGCTATACGAGATGTGGCGGGCAAGCACGACTGAATCGCGGGGAATTATTGCAATACTCTGGACTTAAATTCCCAGAAAACCCTGACGACGAAGTGCAAAGTATATTCAATAAGATCGATAGAGTTGTTGAGTGGTTTCCTCATCTTGAAAGTTTGGGACTTAACAGGAGTCGGTCTACCATGCATTGTCTTCATTGTCGCGCCTCCAAAAGCTACGTCACCTAAAATTGAATCTTCCATTGACTTCATCAGAGCTTCCGAAACAAGATGGAGTCCACCGGAATCCTCCTTGGGGCATGTCCGGCGAGTCTGTTCAATGGCCCGCTCCCCAGCCCGCTCCTGAGATCTCCGCCAACTACTGTAAAGAGTTATTCAATCATATGCTTGGGGAGCAAGAGAAATTCCTTGACTCGGCGGCAGCTGAAAATCGTGCACCTCTTAGGATGCTGGTCATCAAAGTTGGGGAGTGCGAGTCGTTCAACTACTACTCGAATCGTCCAAGCAAGTACAAATACATGTGGATTTGTCGGAGGATAAACGACGGCCTTCTGAGGACGTGGTTTGTGAGAGATACGAGTTTTGGATTCCGCGACGAGCAATACGAAGATGTCTTACTATCTCATGGCTTCGCTGTCCCTTGGGGGATCCTTCCCGGAGTGAGTTTGAGAGCAAGCGTACGCGAAGACCTGGGTTCAAGCCTCCTACTACTGACAGCGCTAGAAAATGTGGCACATCCTCCGTTCAACGTGGTTCGTGCATGCCAGTTTCTCGTCGAGGGTCTTGATGGTTGATTTAATGAATTGGATAATTTAGTGGGCATGCTGCCCTAATTTAAACCTTACAACTGTTCTTAAACTGTGCGATTGTTATCAGGTAACAAGTAATACTCCGATAAGTCACGTGCCCTCCGCTACAAAGCTCCACCCAAGCTTCCGCCGCGACATTTTTCAGATCCACGACGCCAACTCTCCCAAAGCCGTTCGGAAAGGCTTATCTGCCTCTCGTGCCTCTCTCTTTCCGGGCTTTCTCCCTCCCGATGGGTGGATCCGTCAACGCCGCCCTGGACAGTGGAAGCCGTCGACTTGAACGACGATGGCACCTCCGAGCGGGTCGGCGACGTACAAGAAGAAAGATGGCACCCTGACCATGTCCCAGGACAGCCAGTCGGTCTCGTGGATTCCCGCGGCTGGCGGTGTCTCCGGGACGATCACGTTGCCTGTTGGTCATGTTACAAGTACGGGGGCTTTCTTTGAGGAATAATGAATCCCTTTTGGAAGGCGAAGGAAGCTGACTCTGCTAGATCTGCAACAGACACCCGCGAGTAATCCCAAGGTCATGCTGAAGATCTTCGTCCAACCTCCCGACGCCAGCGCCCCCGAACAATACGTTTTCTCGTTCACGGCCGGCGCCAACGCGCGCCCCGAGGCAGACGCCATCAAAGACGCCCTTAGCTCCGCCATCCAAGCCACCAAAGCCGCACCGCAGCCTTCAGGTAGCACACCCACACCCACCCCCGGCGGAACCCCCGCACCACCACCCCGCGATGGCAGCATGTCCGCAGCCATGGCCATGGCGAACGCCGTCTCAGCAGGAACAGGCCGCAACGCATGGGACGACGACAACCGGCTCAAAGCCGACGCAGAGCTCCAACAGTCATTGTTACGGGCGGACCCGAATCTCAAGCGGATGTTCTTTGAATCGCTAGATACGAAACCGGAGTCGTTGACGACGAACCAGTTTGCGTCGCAGTTCTGGTCGACGCGGTTGCATTTGCTGCGGGCGCATGCGATTGAACGGGGCCAGTTGCGGGGGTCGTATAATGTGCTTTCGACGCTGAAGCCGCGGACGGAGGAGAATGTGACCAAGTTGAATATTAGCAAAGAGCAGATTCAGTTGATTTTCAGTCAGCATCCGCTTGTTAAGAGGGTGTATGATGAGTGTGTGCCCAAGTTGTCGGAGCAGCAGTTTTGGTCGAGGTTTTTCCAGAGTCGGTTATTTAAGAAGTTGCGTGGGGAGCGTGTTTCTGAAAATGATGCTACGGATGGTGTTTTGGATAAGTATCTTCTGGAAGATGAGAATATTGGGCAGCGCGATGCGCATGTGCCTCAGTTTCTGAATTTGGCGGGTAATGAGGTGAATCACAGCCAGCGACGGGGTAACCGGCCGGATCTGGACATGAGACCGTCAGGTGTGGACAAGGTGCCTATTATCCGGACATTGAACAGTCTGAGTGAGAAGATTATGGCTGGTGTTGCACCGGCAGATCGAGATCCTGCAGCCCCGGTGGGAATGGATGAGGAGACGTATAATGCGTTACAGCTACGAGATTTACAAGGCGACGAGGAGCAGGGCCGGGTTCTGTTGAATGTTCGGGACCAAAGTCGATTCTTCACGCAAGCCAAAGATGCAGCAGAAGAGCAGAGTCGGTTGATCTCGCAGCAGGATCCTGAAAAGGTACTGGGCACTCTCCGTACGCAAGTACAGCAACAACTACCAAACGACGGCACCGCACAGCTAGGCCGGTTGGTACAGCCAGACGAAGACGAAGACGCGGACGAAACCCGATCCCGCCAACAAGTCGGCTCCAAACCCAACCTCCAACAAGCCTCTACCCAAATTCTCAGCGCAATCCGTGACCTCCGCGCCCAAGCCGAAAGCTCCTCCACAGAAGGCACCTACGGCCTCACCCCACCCCTCTACGACCGCCTAACCCTGACCCACGCCACAAGCACCGAATTCCTCCATCAATTCTGGCAAGCCTTCCTATCCGGCAACGCAGACCGTGCGGGCGAAGTCGCCTCGCTGGTAGAATCGCTCAACCGCGCAATGCAGCGGATCAAGGCCGTCGCTGCTGACGCGGAGGCAGACCGACAGAAAGAAGTAGAGCGGTTGAAGCAGCATGCGAGAGATATGTTGGAGGCGACAGGGAGGAAGATCCGTGTGAATTTGGCGGGGATTGCTGGCGGAGAGAAGGTAGTGAATCAGTTGTTGGGGCCGACGATTAGGGCGTTGGAGATTGCTTTGGGGAAGTATAAGGAGGCGTTTGCGGAGGAGATGAAGGAGGCGCCTGCATAAAGGTATGTATTCATAATAATACCTTTGTTCTGTATTTGTTTTTGTGCAGTAGATAAACCGCCTAAAAAACAGTAATATATACAACACCCCATAACAAACGACCTCAAGACCCTTCCACTGGCTCAACTCTCTCCAACTTAAGCCCCTTCAGATCATCCTTGACCTACTTCACAATCCCCTCCTCCGTAGTAGGATCCTCGACACCCCACACCTCATCCTGAATCTGATTCCAGATGTAGAATCTGCCCTGTGCCTCGAACACAACACTCGCCTCTCCAGAAGCCCGTGTGTTGCTTGGGAAAGGACGGGGGTTCTTGAGGCCATATGTACTTGCCATCTGGGCGCCGGGGCTTTCGGGGGCCTTTCCAGGTGTAGTCGAGGTCTAGTTCGGAGGGGTCGTTGGTCCAGTCCTGTGGGATGGGGATGGAGTTAGTTGGTTGCTTGCTTTAGAATGTATTGGGTACAAGTACTCTGTAGATTGAGTGTGAACACGTACGTTTACACCCATGTTGACAGTTGTAGGTATGTATGTATGTATGTGAGCCAAGAGAAACGAACGCTTGTTTATATTTATGCGGAGTGCTCGTCCCAGCCCCATCGGCACGCTAGCACTATTTATTACATGCCGACGCCGGCAACCAGCAACAACGTAATGATCTTCATAGCAAAATCAAGACCAAGAGTCAACATTAGGCACAGGCGTCACCACTTTAAGTCCACGGCTCTCATCCTCCTCGATCGCATGCGCAATACCCTCCTCAGTAGCGGGCTTCTCAATCCAATGAAAATGATTTGTAACTGGGTCCCCCAGATATAGAACTTGCCCTGCGACTCAAACAGGATATTTGCATTGTTTCGTGTGCTGTGCATGATTGGACGGGACATTTTGAGGTTAAATGTACGTGCCATCATGGGGGCGGCGGTGTTCCATAGATCTTCGATGGCCTGGTATTGGTCCTGGAGGTAAAGAGAGATATATATTTGCTCGTTTCTTGGATTATATAGCTTAAGTACATACGTTTGTACCCATGTCTACGGATATGTAGTAATGGGAGCTGTCTGTTATAGTTGGTTACATGCTAGTACAAAGTACATCATATTGTACATGCAGCCGGCACGTGCCAAGTGGGCCTCAGTATAGACCACCGTAAACCATTCCATACATCCAAACACAACACAACACAACACAACCACCAACCGGCCACGGCCAGGCCATTTTACTTTTACCATAGATAAACAAAATGTACACCTCCGGCCTAACCAACACCCCCATCACCAAAAATCTCCTAATCTACACAATTGCCTCATCAATCCTCCTCTCCATCCTCGACTCCAAGCATCTCGTGTCGATCTACGTCTCGCCGCATCTCTGGCAGTACGGACAGTTCTGGCGCGCGTGGATATGGCAGGTTGCTGGGTTTGCGAACTCGACGGAGGCGCTTTTTGCGGCGGTTTTGGTTTATCATCTCAGGGTCATTGAGAGGGGGTGGGGGAGGAAGAAGTTATTGGTATGTTTTGGCATTCCTTGGATTGAATTGGATATAGGTGATGATGATGATGATGATGCTAATGTATGTGATGCGCAGTCGTTTATTCTCTCAACACTACCGTATACAACCCTCCTCCCGCCGCTCCTCCTGGCACTCGTTATCCGTCCCCTATCCTTCAACACGATCAATTACCTCCCCTCCGGCCCCGTGACAACCCTCTTCGCCCTCCTCGCCCAATACCACGCGCTAATCCCACACACCTACCGCTACCGCATCGGCACATCCACCTCCTCCACAGAACCAACAAGCAAAGGAATAACCCTCCTCCTCTCCAACAAAAGCACAACATACCTCCTCGCCTTACAACTCGCGCTCTCGCAATTTCCGTATATGCTCCTTCCGTCTGTGACGGGGTGGTTTGTGGGGTTGGCGTGGCGCGCGGAGGTGTTGCCTGGTGTTGGGGTGAATTGGAGGGTTCCGGCTTGGGTTGTTGGGGAGAAGGAGAGGGTTAGTAGAGGGGAGGAGGGGAGGTTTGAGGATTTGAGGAGGAGGTTGGAGGGGGAGGTTGTTGCTGCTGGTGGGGCTGCTTCGGGGGTTTCGGATGGGAGTGGAAGTGGGGATAATAGTGAGCAGAGACAGAGGCAGAGGGGTGCATAATAATCTATGAATACTTGTTTTAGTTGGTTAGCATCTCCGACTATGTACTTTATGCAATTGTTTACTGTTTTGTTGTCTATACTGCATTGCAGGCTATGAGGTACTAAAGTGATTACCAATTCAACAATCGGTCCTGTAGCTCAGTCGGTTAGAGCGTGGTGCTAATAACGCCAAGGTCGCGAGTTCGACCCTCGTCGGGACCATATTTTTGCATTTCTTTTTTGGTTTGACATTTAAAATATCTTTTTCATTCATCGTTTCTTTTTTGTCGTTCGTTAACTTTCATGTCGAAATATAGCTGCAATATTCATATAACATTCCGAAATGTACATAAATCAGTTTATCTACAGAGTACCAGTCTATTGTACCTGCCTATGATAGCCACTACCTCCCGCTCCGACTCCGCCGCATGCTATCCTTGCACTCGTTGCAGTACCATTTGACTGGTATCGTTAGCAAATATCCATACATATACGCAATATTTACAAGGAAAAGGGCTAGCTTACCATTCTTCCCAGGTGGCTTGGTCATCCCAACACACGACAAATGAAACCACTCCCGCGGACAAGCATCATTATCGCACGCAACCATCTCTCCGAAACTAACTTCGTTACAGTAACAGTACCGCGGCTCGCCTTCTTCGTCTTCGTCGTCGCCCTCGTGCATCGATTCTTCTTCCTCCTCCTCCGGCGGAGGCGGCATAACTGGTGCACCCCCGTTTTTCTTGTGGGACCGTTTGGCGGAAGTAGCTGGTGCAGGATTTGTGCTTCGAGTAGGTCGTACGCGTGGTTGTGCGGGTTCGTAGGATTGGAGGACAGGGGTTGATGTTTTGGAGGATCTACCTTTGGACCCGGAGTTGGACTGGGGCGGAGCTGGCGACTCGCCTGTTTCCACTGATTCGGCAGGCCTGTCTGAGTCTTCTCGCTTGGTCCCTGGAACTGGCATTCTAGACGAAGCGCCATTTCCCACTTCACTCTCCGGTTCTCTGCGTTGTGCGTCCACACCGGCACCACCAAGAACACCAGGAACACCAGGTTCCGTATTGTGAGGTGTATCCCTGGAAATTGGCTTGCCTTCGATGCCTTTATCTACAGCAAGGCCCGCGTTAGAAAGGGCAAGTCCCAGGGTTGGTCCAGGTCCAAGAAACGTACTGTCAGTCACACGGTTTGACGTGGCAGACGATGGTCTATTCCGTCCATTGCCCGAATGTGCGCCATTTTGTTGTGCACGAGATGATTGTGGTCGACTAGTAGTAGATACAGGACTCGTCTTTCGTGGCGCATTGAAAGTCCCAATGACGGGAGATGGTGCCAATATAGGAGACTCGGCCGCGGTAATACCAGTGGTGTTCCTGGTTCATGTTAATAAGAAAAGAGAAGGGCGGGTGGCAGAAAACATACCTCTTGCGTGCAGCGGCTGTGCCTGAATTAGGAGCTCGCGATCTCTTCTTGGCGGGATCTTGAGCATCCTTAGAACCGGCTCCTCCAGCAGTGCTACCGGCACCACTCGCCGTTCGTTCCATTGGAGTACCAGATTCTGCGGGTGTTGGCCGGTCAACCTTCCGACGTTTCGTGGCCGCCGTACTACCGGAGACTGTGTTATCTGTCGTAGCATGTTCCCCTGTCGCAGCGCTACCTCGCGCCTTGCTACCATGTCCCCTGCGAGAACTAGAACGGGTGTCGTCAAACTCAGAATCCGCGTGGCCGCGGCGATGCTTGCGTGCCAGGACTGCTTCCCGTCTTGCCTCACTCCGGGAGAAAGCTTCTGCCTCCGCCAATTCTTTAGCTGCCGCTACTTCACGACGTGGGCGCTCATTCGTAGTGGTCTTTGTAGCGGTGTTGCGATTCGAGTAGGCCCAGTGGGTGAGGCTACCCAGACGAGACTCATCACTGATTTCACCCGCGATAAACGGGAAAACTGTATCAAGACGCGCGACCTGACGATCTAGCTCGTCGTTGGCGTTGGAAATCACATGGTTCTTCTCATCCGCAGTCATCATGAGGTCCGAAAGGGTGTGTCGTACGCGATCAAACAGGAGACGACGATTTTTGCTTTCCGGCGACTCGGGTGGTTGTGAGGGATTCTGTGGATGCGAATTCCGTCAGTTTTATTCTTCTATCAATCTTTTTCTTTTGTAGTTCGCAGTAGAGGTCTACCTGAGGCATAATATCGTCGCGAATCACACCCGCGACAATAGGCGCCGGATTGGGAGGGTGCTGCACAGCCTGGGTCTCCGAAGAGACCTTGAGCAGCTGCAGAAGGTTTTCTTCTAAAGCCCATGCCTTCGCATCCACCTCTTTCAGCAATGAATTATGACGACGGAATTCTCGCGGAAGCGCCGTGATGGCGTCGGTGAAATGGGTGAGAGCAGGATAAAACCCGTGTGGAACGGTGGGCGTCGGAGGGGCATCACTCATCGAGCCATGACCGTAGGCAAACGAGGAGCGGCCAAGCGTCTTGGAGGTTCGCGATGGATTCGTTCGTGTCTGGCGCGCCGATTGACGAGCACTTTGGCTCTGGGGGTTGACGACTGAAGAGATCGCAGCCGACATGGCGAGGAAATTTGACAAGCCAGGATCGAACCTGGCTCAATCCAGGCTGTAGTATCAAGGAGGGATAAAGAGCGAAAAGCTAGAGTAAGCCTGACAGTATTCCGAAAGACAAGAAAAACGAGAGTAGTTGAGCAGATAGGTGTGAGATGAAGCTGAGAAGAAGATACAGTGCGGAGAGAAGAGTCACTTTCCCCTTTGGGCTAGTTAACTAGTTATCAGGTGATATATAGGTGCCTTGAGAATAAGGCAAATAGCCCACTGAGAAAGTAACTAATAACGTAATTCCCAAGCAAGTGGGCCACCCAAGCGAGAGAGCCACCTACCCCCCCATATATAGTATTTAAATGCATTTATCCCAACCAAAACGCCAATTAATTAACAAAACAAGCTATCTAGGTCTATCTGGACATGTATTTCTCTTATGTCCTTCATTTCCACAGGTACCACACTTCGGTAAAGCCCTCGTACGCGGCTGTAAAGGTGGTGAATGCCGTCTTGGCTGGGGGGATGCTGGAGCCATCGGGGCCTCAATCGGGGCCTCAATTAGCCCAACAGCCTCCTGAACTGAAAGACCACCTTCATGGGGTATTTGCCTTTTGGACCGTGTAGGCTTTTGCTTCTGCTTCACGTTCAAAGCGCGTAAATCACTTACTTCTTTCTCAAGAATAGCAGCTGATTGCATACCGATTTGGCATGCCTTAAGAATCTGATTTATCGCGGTATTGAGCGGGCTTGGTGGTCTTCTTGATCTCGTACGGAGCAATGCTTTAATTGATGAGGATTGCTTTTGTAATTGCATGTAGTTTGAAGGTGTGTTTGGCTCCCAATCACTACCCTGGCTTCTGCGGGGGGTTGGCGTACGAAGCCGATTATTGAGCTTTGAAAGCACCCGATCAGGGTCAAAAGGCATTAAACCAGCTGCTGTGAAGCTATTTTTGATGGTATTGGGTTTGAAAGCTTCAATTCGTGCGTGTGGGTAGGCCTCAAGGAAGTCTAATTTGTCGATATGGTTGATCCCAAGACGCATTCTAGTTTCAACAAGCTGACTGTATGATCGCTTTAACACTGCAAAACAACCAATATCAAATGGCTGTAAAAGATGTGATGAATGTGCAGGCATGCAGATTGGGATGATATCATTTTGGCTGCATGTTTCATCAAATTTTGGTGTCAAATGGCTACCATGGCCATCGAGGATCAAAAGTCGATATTTCCCTTTTGTACGAGTACTTGTTGATGGAATAAAGATCTTTTGAAGCCACCGAAGTTCAATTTCATCAGAAGTCCATCCATTTGGACTAACTTCAATGTGCCAATCGCCTGGGAGGCCATCAGACCAAGACTCAATAAAGACCTTGCCTTTGAAAATAATGCATGGAGGCAAGACCCATCCTGATGCACTAATTGCCTCGATTGTAGTAACCCATTCACAATTTCCAGGTTGTAAAAGGGAGTGCCGACCATAGTATTCAGACCTTGTAATCACTTTTGCAGTTGCAGTTAAGCCCATTGCAAAGCCAGTCTCATCAAAGTTATAGATATCATCAGGGTCAATGCCATATTGAAGTATTGTACGTTGCATGCAATCAAACCATTCACGGATGATGTTTGGGTCTTCACACTTGGCACGCTCGTAATTATAGCGCCTTGAGAATCGGGTTGAAAGCTCAGAATGCCTTTTCATGAAGTTTGTAACCCAATTCTTGCCAACTGTTTGAACTGGGGTAGATCCACGCGCGGCAAGTAATAGATTAGCCATTTCTTGTACAGTAGTAGGCCGAGGCGGTGCTCCACGGGAATCCATTGAGAGTATCCATTGTATGAGTGATTCCTCTTCTGTTTGAAACAATTTATGGTTATTGGCGCGTGATTCAGGGCGAAAGACACCACCAGTAAGGCGGCGTTGTAAGGTAGAGCGAGGTACTTGAAAGTGGTGTGCTGCTTCGCGAATAGAGCTAATTTCTTGATTCTTAATAGCCTGAATAGCTAATAAGATCCTACCCTCCTGCTCTATTGAATTCTGAGAGCTTCGAGAGCGAATTGGTGGCATGGTGGGTGGTTAAAGAATTGAAGTCTAATTCATGGACGCGTTTCGCGTTGGGTGGCCCACTCGCTTGGGAATTACGTTATATAAAATGACGTCATTCATCAACTATACTTCTTCCACTTCTACCCTAGACAATAACATAATAAGATACATTGACAGCTTGATACTTTGCCTCAATCTATTAATACCAGTAGCGTAGTCTTGGTCAGATAACCGTAATGTGCGTACTGGTCAACAGCGCTCTCTATAGCTATGATTCTCGTACTGCTTGAGTAAATGCCATCAAGAGTAGATGCGACTTTCTGTTTGACTCCAGTCATATAATTCAGGGCATTTCGCTTTCTCAATTTACCACAGCGTCCAACTCGCCATCCCATTCGCCATCATGGCGCTATCCAGCCTCCCCAGCGAGCTGTTTGAAGTACGATGGCGATATAAACGCTCTGATGCAAACGAACCACCGATTTTGCCGCTTGCTGAACCCCTACCTTTATCGACACAACATCCAAAATTCTGAGGCCTCGGCACTTCGATGGGCGGCTTTGAATGGCGCTGTGTCGACTCTTGAGAAGGTGCTTGAGGCAGGAGCTTCGTCGGACCACCCTTTCTACAGTATAGTATACGATGCGAACATACAAGAGGCATCTGGCAAGACTGGGGGCCAGTGGTTCTGGCAGCTAAAAGTGGCGACGAGGCGGTGGTAATGTTCCTGCTGGAGAAGGGTGCCAACCTCGACCCAGAAGGAAGGGTATGTCCGATGAACGTTCAGGAGGATGAAGATGAGGATGGGGGCAAACACACAAAGGCAAATCCTCTCTTCTGGTCCCTTGACCACGGACAGGAATCTACCTTACGAATTCTAGTCACGCATGCGATGAAGAGCCCGAAGGTGGACCAGGAATTCGCCAAGTTTTATGAAGAGAATCTGCGCGCCATGGTCAACAAGACACCAGACTGGATTTTCTTCCACCAAAATGGAGGTTAGCAAAATTTGCGGAGGACTTCTACTGGCGACAGGAATATCCTGTTCCGTGAAGGATTGGTCGGTACAGATCTGTTGTTGCTCTATCATTTATTTTCGGTTGCATCAAAGCAGAGTGCGGGACATTGTACTTATTCAATTGTCATATAAAGTCCACTCAGACCAGTTTTATAATATTAATAATGAGCTGTTTTATGGTAAATCCCAGGCATTACAAATAGAGTAAGCGTTCGGCTTCGGGCGATTAGGGTTGCCGATACTCCACCGTACCACCGTTAATATCCGAATTTGATAAGTAGCCGCTCTTCTTAATCTCACTTCCTACATTTCACCTCTACTGCATCCACCAACTAACAGAACAACATGGCTGAATCAAACATGTCGCAGCGAGCCGGTCAGGCCGTCGAATCAGCAAAACAAGTCCCTTGGCACGTCATGTCCGATACATGGTCTCCCGCCACCAACCCCAACGGCTATGTCAACGTCGGCGTCGCGGAGAACATGCTGATGCACGATACGCTGCTGGAGTATATCAACACAAAACTCAGTCTCCCAGCAAAATATCTTACTTACCATGACGGCGCGACGGGGTCAGATCGTCTCAGACGCGCTATCGCGGGTTTCCTGAATAAGCATTTTCAACCGGCTCATCGCGTGGTTAGCGATCATTTGGCTGTGACTAACGGTGTTTCCTCGGCTATTGAGCATGTCTCGTGGGCATTTGCGGATCCGGGCGAGGGGATTCTCCTGGGAAGACCGTACTACGGAACGTTCATCCCCGATATGTCGCTCCGGCCTAGTACGGCGGTTATCCCCGTTGAGTTCCAGGACTGTGATCCATTCAGCCTCGAAGCTGTGGATCGATACGAGAAGGCGTTGCTCAATTTCCAGGAGAAGTCCGGTCGACGAGTCCGCGCGCTGATGCTCTGCCACCCGCATAACCCGCTGGGACGGTGTTATCCCCGCGAGTCTTTAATTAAGTTGATGCGACTGTGTCAGAAGTATCAGATGCATTTAATCAGCGATGAGATCTATGCCATGTCTGTGTGGGAGAATACAGTTGATGAGTTGCAGACTCCTCCCATGCCGTTCGAGTCTGCTCTTTCGATTGATACGACCGGTATCATCGACCCGGCTTTCGTGCATGTGCTATGGGGTATGAGTAAGGATTTCGGGGCAAACGGCTTGCGACTGGGCGTAATCGTCTCACAGAACAATACGGATCTTCACATGGCATTAAAGGGTGTGACCTTGTACAGCTATTCCTCCTCCGTCTCAGACCATCTGGCTTCCATAATCCTAGAAGACCATGACTTCACCGACCGCTATATCCAGCAAAATCGACAGAAACTCTCCGAATCCTACGCATTTGCTGTCCAATTACTCAAGAACAACGGCATCGAGCACGCTGCCGGTGGCAACGCCGCGTTCTTCCTCTGGATCGATCTGGGTCGGAAATATCGTGAGGTACACCCGGATGAGCCCGAGGATTCCGATGTTGGTGATAAGGTGATGGCAGCGCTTATGGAGAAGAAGGTGTTTGTATCGAGTGGGGCTTTGTTCGGGTCAGAACATAGTGGATGGTTCCGGCTTGTGTTTTCGCAGCCGCGGGAGTATATCGAGGAGGCGTTGCGGAGGGTCATGTTGGCGATGGAATAAGTCAATTCTGGGATTAGAATACTGTACATAGTAAAGATTTCCATTTAATAAGTATCTATAATTAAAAACACATTGCTGGATGCTTGCTGTCTCTTCGAAACGTACACAGTAGTACAATGTTGGTGTTGGCAACCAATATCGTAAAAAACAAAATGTTGAAATAATCCTGAGCAAAAGCCTCCTTCGCCAGTGTTTTTGTTCTGGAGCTTGAGAACAACTTAGCGTTTCGTCAACAAGTCGGGCCATCATACACAGCGGGCTTCTTGGGGATCCGTATCAATAACGAGACAAAAAAGTTTTTATCCATTTGTGAAAGTCATGGTATATTTCGAATGTGACCCTCTGGGGGAAATCTCTAAAGGAACGCAAACTGTTCCTAGGTTGACACAGGCATCAAAGGCCAATCCACATCTGAACCGTTAGCTCCCAACTCGTGCACGAATGTGTGACTAGTATAGCCAGTCAACAAATTACAAACTTGATTGGTCTGTCCGGAGAGCTTCATTGATATGTGTTCTTTTGAGCCCATAAATTGACATCTTGTCGGACGTTGGCGCACTTTTCCTTGCGCTTTATAGCCCTTAAGGCTCTTTGATGAAGTTTTCTTTGGTCACATCAGTCGTTCGATGCCAGCAAGCATGGTTGGCAATTATAATGGTCTCGTAGGAGCGTCAGGCGAAATTTCAAGGGCGTCGCTCGAAACTAGGCCCAGGTTTATGATATTCTCGTGACTAAAAGGAGTCTCTCTTGGGCTAGCCACTTAAAAACCAGGCCGTGGGATGTCTCATGTATTGCCTCGGTTTCTCGCTGGAGGTTGGTCCGTTCCATGAACCAGTTTTCGACGAGGCCTATGTCGTGTGGATGGGGATACTGATCGAAGTGAGCTCAATATCTTCGCTTATGGGGGCACAAACGGCATTGTTCAGCGCCTCTAGAATTGCCATAGAACACTCAAGTGACCATGGGTTGAAAATTGATGTCAATGTAATTTTTAACTGGTATTTCTTTTTTTCATCAGTATAATATTCTTCAAGTTCGGAAACGTCTGACTGCAATTTGCTCACTGTGCGGGCCAGTTAAACACTTCATGTTCCATGAGCATATATCTTCAGGCTCAAGTAGGACCTCAGGTCTGGTAAATGCGTTACCAAAGTGTCTGATACTCAGATTTCGCTCGAGAAAAATTTCCTTTGCGATTGCAGATGTATGCACACATTGGCGACCTCTGGTGCGGCGGATATTCTGATAAACTCCCCGAGTAGCAACATTTAGCCACGAGGCTCATCCCAGTGTCTTGAAGCAAACTGCTGTAAAGCAGGTACCAAGGCGTTTGGTCTCTGACGAAATAATCCGAAAATGGCTGCGGGTAAATGACCGAAAAAGACCGTGATAACGACTGCCAATTCTATGGACTAACCCGATATCAGTCAGTTACACAGGCTAGGGCTATCTGTATGGGTGTACTCACATCTCTGTGTATTGTGGCAGCTATATCATAGATTCTTCCCTTTCTTAGCATTTTTTGTTCGTAGTTGGAGACCCGCACAGACGAGCCCTTTTGTCGGGCTTAGCCGAGTCAATTCCAGGAGAGTGTTGGTAGGATTGGATTCCCGGATCATTTCCAGTAATTTAGGCGTCTCGACTTTGTTAAATTGACCGACTTATCAAGCCTTTGGAGTTGAAATACCCCGTAGCTAGTGAGTTCTCAGGCATATTAGACTGCTGGATCCTGGTTATACACTATTCAACACGGAGGTAAAGAGAGACGCGGTGATACTCTACAGAGAAAAAGACAAAAAGAAGAAGATACAACCAGTGAATGCCTTGCAAGATGCTTAGTTCTTCCCAAGCCCGCATGATTGGCCGTCGAACAAAATTAATATATATAAGATTGACTTCATAACCAATATATTCACGAGTAGCATTGTAGTCCCATTATACTGGTGTTGTTAGCGGATATTGGGAAGCAAAGCGTACGTAGCTTCGATATCTCTTTCAAAAGGCTTCTTTTTTTTTTTTTTTTTTTTTTTTTTTTCCCACGCCCATGGAACTACTGAGACATCATTAGGGCAGCTTCCCCACGTGATTACACGGCTAAAGGATCATCCGTGGGTACCTGAAACAAGGGGCGTAACACCGATAGTTAGTTAGCACAGATAACAGCATTCCAGTTGGTGCTGGTTCTAACAAAATGCGATTTCCATAGTCTTTCTTTCTCACTTCCATTCCAATCCTAATTATTTGTCGCTCTTTCTTCCCTTCCAGTCCATTCTTTCTCTTCTTCCCATACAACCCCCGTACATGCAGTCAGGGGAACCCCCTATATACACTCCCTGAAACAAACAACCCCGGCCTCCCCCTTTTGCGTCGCATTGCATCGCGTTACATCGCATCGCGTCTGTTCTTTTATACCCTGGATATCCTCATCGCGGTTTCAACCGGATCCAGACCATTTCAAAGAAAAACAAAATGACATCATCGGCATTAACACTATTTCCTCGCGACGACGAGAAGCCCGTCAGTAACTTCACCAAGAGTGGAGTGCCGGGAATTATTATCGGGGTGTAAGTCTTAGCTCCATACTATTGGTCTCGGCGACGACTATACATTATAGCTCGGTTGCTAATTACTTGTTTTTCTTGGTTATAGAGTCGTCTTTATCGCACTATGCATTTGCTGCTTCTTCCTCTATCGCAATCGACGACGAGATACCCGCGAGGCCAAGTCGGCTCAGACGTGGAATGACGAGGGGCATGCATAAGGGATTACACTGATCGGGGGATGGGATGGTCTGGTTGGTTGCTGTTTGGGAAGATTCACATTGTGTATGGGGTCTGGGTATAATACTGTACTTTGATGTTTGTTTTATGTGGGTTGCTGCATGTTTTTTTCTGGCTATCACTTTCTTTGATATTCTGCGTTTGATGCTCTATTCGATGCGCCTGGGGCGATTATGACTTCGATACCAATTTCAGGTCCGAATGCACTATTTTTGAAGAATGAATTGCTGTAATGGGTCACGGAGCGCGTCGATCTTCAGCCGTTCGTCGATCAATACGGAGTACACCAACCAAGTATTCTGTAGCGGTGGTCGTGATTCCTATACTTGCTGAGTAGCAAAGAATGCACATGTGTCCTACATACACCTATGGGAACCACCGAAGCTACGATGGAAAGAAGTCAGTCAAAAAAGCGTGATGTGTATTTGACACTCAACCACTATACAGGGGTATGAACAGTCATCTCCTTCTTCACCAAGCCTAGCAATCTATGTTGTACTTCGCGGTTGCAGTAGTTGGCCACCCTTTAGATCTAGGATAGGGTCGTGGGGAATTTATATCTTAGACGACAATTTCTGATCCCAGTCAGGCACACTACCCTATATCCCGATCAGATCATGTTGGCCAACTCGCCCTGAATTGCTGGGGGGCATTGGGTTGTAGTGCTTTATCAACATTTGTAACCAGTCTTGAGCACATCCCCAGTCATCTTGCTCCAAGCGCCAGCCGTAGGTGCCTTACTTTCCCTGAGAAACGTTTCATCTCCCACATTAAATAACGTAGTAGTATATATTCTCCAAAAACCCCTCAATCCTCCGATCTCTCAGCAGTATTTGTCTTATCCTTTCGCCACATTCCACAAAGCAATAAGAGGAACGGGATCGTCCCCAGCAAAATGAACGACACCAGCGTAAAGGCCCATCCCCGGCCCATGGCATTCAGCATGGGATCGATGGCCGCAGATGCCGCAGCCGAGAAGAAAGACCGCACCATGTTATTCGCGGCCGTCGCAGCAGCCGGGTGCGAGGTGTGCAGATCGACAAGCAAGGTGGAGGTGGAAATGAAGCCACCAGTCTGGCCTATGCCGATGAAGAACAGGAGCACCTCAGGCGCCGCAAGGTGCACCCCAAAGTTGACCACCCAGCCGAACGCCAGCACCGTCACACTGCCCATGATGACTAGTGGGATGGTGATGGCGCTGCGGGCTTTCTCGACAGGGACCGACTCCTTTTGGACCTGGATTTGTTCGGGGGTGGCGTCTGGACCGGCGAGCTTTGCGGCACTGCGTCGGTAGTTCCAGTCTAGGAGCCGGCCTGTCACGACGGACGCTAGGATGGACCCGGTGCCCAGTGTGATGTAGCAGAGGCCGATTTGGAGAATGCTTAGGCCATACTGCGTGGAGTACATCTCCGTGATGGATGAGAGAACGGTCATGTTGCCTCCCATGATGACTCCCGTGACCAAGAGGACAATGATCGAGTTTGGATGGAACACGATCACAAGAGGTTTCAGCGGGTTGGGGAATGAGAGCTTGTGCTGTAGCTTTTCTGGCGAGTCGCTGCTGTCGGGTCGGTCGAGAGTCTCCGAAGGCTGTTTGGCCGCGTTGTTACGGTAGAAGTAGTGAACGAGGGGCCGGTTCCATGACTGCGCGGGAGACGTGCCGTCCCCGACGACATTGCGTGCGGTCTCCGGAAGGAACAGGAGGAGAGGCACCAAGAAGACGCCAGACGCGATGGTCAGGAACCAGAAAATCGACTTCCAGCCGAGATACTGGGCCAGAAGACCACCAATGATGGGACCGATGGCCGGCCCCGAGAAGTTGCCTGCCATGACAATGCCCATATATGATCCCCGTTCCTCTTTGGTGCTGACATCGGCAACGGTCGCCGCAGACAGCGCCACGCTACTGCTGATTCCGGAACTTTGCAGACATCGCAGCACAATCAGAGCGGCATAGTTGCTCTGCAATGCGAGTCCGATGTTTGATGCGATATAGATGACGAAGCAGATGATGTAGGCGGGTCGACGGCCAGTCTGGTCTGCAAAGCTGCCGAGGAACATGGGCGCAATCCCTTGGAAGATCTAACATATTATCACCGTTAGTTAGCACGCATTCTTCGGGTTGATTTCTGGAACACGCTTCGTATTTACCATGTAACTGGTGACTGTTAAGTTGATCAAGGACGATGACACGCCCAGATCCTCAGCCAGCGCATTCAGGGCCGGGAAGTAAATCTGGGCCGACAAAGAGGAAAAGAAGCCAGCCCCAGCCGCTGTGAAGACAATGTATTTTTTCTGTAGGTTGGTAAAAGAGCTATAAGGCCGAGGTACGGCCGAAGACTCCGAGTTCATTATGATTCGAGTGGTTTGGGCATGGGGAGAAAAACTGAGAACCAAGTGAGAATCAATTGGTCGCAACGAGACTGTCCCTTTTTCACTGTTCTAATTCTCCCAATCGATCATCCATCATCGCGAGAAAAAAAAGAAAAAGGAAATACAATAAACAGCTCGCAAGTTGACACGAAGAAGGCTTGGCAGGCCGTGGGATGTTCGGCTGGGTCTGCGGAAAAGCTTGAGAAAGCTTGATGTGATGATGATCGGCCTCGGTCCAGGCTTCTGAGTGTTAAAGCCCAAAGGGTGTACTCCGGTATAGGCGAGGAAATCATTTCCTCTAGGTGATATGATCGCCAGGAGTGTGTGTTTCGGCTCGGCAGGTAACTGTCAACGGGCATACGGAGGACGGTAGACGGTAGACGGAGCTATGTAGATCGGAATTCAGCCTGTACAGAGTAATAATCATCATTGAGCAAGGACCGTGTGCCAGTCTGTCCGCAAGGGTCCAAAAGACCTTGGTGAGGCTGGCCTGCCACATTATTGGTGGTGACCTGCCCACTTCTACCCACTGATCTACGTATTCGGCAATCAAGCTGCGCAGCCCAGAAGGTTATTCCGATTATCAGATTGATTGATAATTTGTCTTGTACTTCTGCTTCCACTCTTTTTCGTTGAAGGTACGCAATCCTCGCCGTGGCAATTACCAGATTTACACCCTGATTTGCACCCTGATCGTCCGAGAACCCTGACACTTGGTGGTTGTTACAACCTCCTAGTGCGGCTTCTGCCGCTCAAAAAGAAAATCATATTCTGCTTGCAATGAAGACCCATCAAGACAATCAAGTATCAAGTATATTCCGTACTGAAACTTTGGGGGTACCATAATCTACGGAGTACCTACATCAAACGCTTACTCCGAAGAGTCTTCACTGAAGCAATGGATATGGATCAGCGAGGACCACCACCATTCCAGGTTACTGTACCAGACCGGCAAGCGAGAGATGGGCGAGAAAGCACATCGAACGCCAGGAACCAATACAACCGCAAGTATGACTGCCAACCGGCAATGTGAAGATCCAGACGTTATGGCGATCCGCACTCACCCATCCTGCTAGAGTAATGATCTCACTAAATGGCCATAGCTGATCACGATAATGATTAGGAGGCCATGGTAGGTGACTCGTGGGATGCGACATGTACTCAGCTTCCGACCAAGAAAATTGACATAACATAAACTGAAGAAAGTTTCATCCGGTATGGTGTGATGGGAGAACTTGAGCCGAAATAGGGTTAGTAGAAGACTGAGAGTTTCAATTCTAGGACCATCTCTACATAGTAGATAGATCTTTTACAGACCTGTTAATCTCCGTGTCAGCAATATTTAACCAGCTCGACGCCTCAACCTTCAAGTTATCAAGTCAATTCAAACACATCAAGATCTTTCCTCAAATCAAGACAAGACAAAACCCACACACGATGACTCCTGAAATCTTCGACGCAACCTCAGCGGTCACCGTCATCGGCGCAGGACCCTGTGGATGTGCCTTTGCGGCAGACCTGGCTAGCCGCGGAAAATCCGTCATGCTGTACGGCCACCCGGACCATCGTGGTGCAATCCCGATGATCGAGAAGAATGGTGGCTGGCTAAACGCAGATGGGGACGACGTCAGTGGAAGATTCCAGATCAAGACCACCAGCGATCTGTACCTGGCCATTCGACACTCCCCGTTCCTCGTGTCCACCGTGCCCTCGTACGGCCAGGACACCATCCTACAGACACTGAGCCAATTCAACCTGCGAAACCACACCCTCATCATCAACGTGGGTAACTTTTTCTACCTTGCTGCCCGCCAGAAAGCCAACTTCCATGCCATCCTCGAGACCGACATCTCCCCTTACGCCGTTCGCATCACGGGCGAGACGGTCTTCGTCAAGGGTGTCAAGAAGAGCTTGACCATCTGGGCCGAACCACCCACGACGCAGGCCAGGCGTCATAACCAACAGGCGGAACTCACCCTCCGCCGACAAGTCGAGTCGATCTTCTCGCAGCGCCTGGTGTGGTGCCAGAACCTCCTCCAAGTGGGCTTGAACAACATCAACCCGGTCGTGCACTGCCCGGCGGCGCTCATGAACGCGGGCTGGATTGAGGCCACCAAGGGCGACTTCTTTTTCTACGCCCAGGGCATGTCACCCTCTGTCTCGAAGGTGTCTGAGAAAGCGGACCAGGAGCGACTGGCGATTGGCCGCGCCTACGGTTTCGATCTTGTCGACATCACGACATACATGAACAAAAACTACCAGCATGACCGAGAATTCCACGACTACCATGATTTCGCCGCAGGGTCCGTGATCCACAACAAGACCAAGAGTTCCCCAGCGACCTTGAAGCATCGCTATCTGCTCGAGGACATCCTCTTCGGGATGGTCCCCTGGTACGAGCTCGGTCTGAAGTGTGGTCTGGCTTCGCCAACTATCCGGGCACTCATCGAGATGGCCTCGGTCGTCAGCGGCTTCGACTACTTCGAACACGGGAGGACTCTGAAGGCTGCTGGACTGGCTGAAGCCTCCAAGGAACAGATTCTGATGGCCTTGGGAGGATCCTTGGACAACACCACCAACGTCTACGCTCCGCTTTCAGACTCGCTTGTCAACGCTAGTGTCAACACATTGGAGTCGCATGCTCCACTGCAGAAGCCTCAAGTCGCTGTGTGAGCGTCACTGTCTCCAAACCTATTCTGAGATGAATGATTCCTTTGAAAAACTTGTTCTATACCTATTGTTTTCTCTATTATATTTCCTTTTTACTTCTTCCTTTGCTCACACTTTTGTTTCGTCCTTTTATGATGATAGATGTATATCAAAATACACGAATACAAGCAAACTTAGACCTTAAAACCTACTTCAGTGCCTTGACGGAGTAGAATCGTAGTGCCCCTAGTGGGCAAAGGAATTGTGATCGCCGACTTGATCGACGTATTGTCTTCGGCACTAGATGGGTCTCAGCTACGCCACAATGCAACAACACAAAAGGCGAAAGGCGAAAGGCTTAAAAAAAGGTGGGGGGTTAGGAGACGGTCAATGGCAGGAAGCTGCACTTTCAGAATTCTGGATATCCGACTTATCACGTGCACCTTTCCCTATATAATAATGCCCGGTTCTGCAGCCGCGAGGGGATTCATTTATAAGTTACGAAAATATGCTAATCTCTCATGCCAGCTCCATTATGGATACAATGATGTTATAGCCTACATATTTCAGGTGCGCAGGAGCGAAGAAGCCAACGCCTAAGCAACTTAGATGCAAATTATCCAAACAACCCCAATAACCGAACCTGAAAAATGTAACGGCCAGTATTGCTATGTGCTCCGTGAACCGGCGACTTCTATAGATTATGAAATACCTATGTTAGCTGATTTCTCGGCGTCTGGAATCTATGGCCACACCTTATCTATCTCAGCTATTGTATGTCTTCTTTGACAGGAGATATCGATGTAAACACTAGCATTCATTATAACCTAATTTTACCTTTAAACACTTCGTTTAAGTCTAGTCTAAATTCCTCTTCCATACCTTCAACGGCAATGACCCCGGTAACAAATTCGTCACTTCCACTCGATCCTGCTCCCGTTCCGGATGTGAGAGTGCAAATTCATACCGGTGTACAACGCTAGCAAGCATAATAGTTTGCTCCAAGTAAGTGAGGTTCCGTCCAATGCACGCCCGAGAACCACTGCTGAAATGCACAAAATATAACTGCTTTTAGTCAGTTCTAATTGTCCTTCCTACGTATTGAGTTGTCGAATAACCCTGAATGGCGGACATGATTTCCCTGCAGTTGACACTATATCATATGCTGGTCTTTACTTATAATAGAAGCTGGAATATCTCCAAGAATCCCCCCTTCCCCCCCTCTTCCAAGCGGGGTCGATCATGGGGTCTACTTTTGAGGGAACTATTCCCGCTCTAATATTCAAAAAGAGCAATTACCTTGTCCGCTTTTTCGACTTGCCGTCTACACCAGTGTGCTGGTCTCGAGTACTTTACGCAGCGTAAGAACGTGTCTCCTGCTACAATAGACTTGCAGGCCTCCCCAGAGTAACCAGCTTCCAATGAAAGAGTTTCAACAGAAGGTGAAGCAGTCCCGTCAAACCATCGACCCGTAGTTATGTATATCCGTCAGATGACACATATATTGATCGTAGATAGCGAGAAAAGACGAGAAGCAATAAAGACATAGTTGATGATGATCCCTATTGAGCTATCTAGAAAGGAGAGAGAAGACAACAAGAGGAAAGAACTCACACTGACAAAGTGAGCGCAGAATAGAAAAATAGGATAGGATGACTTACGCTTTCTGAATAGCTTCAACCGAGAGACGCTGGGACGTCTCGAGGCACTAAATATTACTCCTTCGCACCGTGGTCAAGAAGTAACTGAACAATCTCCGGGTTTTCGGGCTTTTTAGTCCTGGCCCACTTAAGCGGTATTCATCCAGATAATAATTGTCATTGGGATTTGCGCCATGTTCAAGCAAATATTTGACAACCGGAGCACTATCTGCGCCAATAGCAATACTAGAGATAGGATGTGAGATTCCAGTACAGATAGATTCTCGTTCATTGAATCATTGAAGGGGTGGTATATCTTACTTGAGAGCATTGCCAACCTCACCAAGATCCTCATTAGGGTCCCATCCATTTTGCAGGAGGACATCGTAGGACCGACTGCTCCATCCAGTCTCTTCATTAAAGCTATCACCTGCTGCGATAACTGCGTCTATCTCATGTGTAAGTAGGCAGCAGGGAAAGCAGGGAAAGCAGGGAAACATACCTGTATTGATACAACACCCACGGCGGATAAGTTCTTCAGCAACTTCCACATTGCGTTCTTCAAGTGCTGCAGTCAAGGCTTCTTGAAAATCCACCATAGGCCAGCGTGGATCTCTAGGATGGGCCATCCAGGAATCTAAAGCAGCCTTGACCTCAGGGAGGCTATTGGCTTTGGCTGCATTAAGGACGGCAGTGATAATGCTGGACATAATGACAAGTAAGAAATTATTCAGATGGGTTCATATTTCCATATTTTTGGCGAGGTCTGCTAACATCAGCGCTATAAGAATAGTTAACTTAGCCTGTTTCATGACGTTGGAGCATAAATACTAAATAGAAAAATGCCCGAATTGCCACATCACCTCTTATGGCCACCCTCAGCAAGATACGACATTCCGGCCAACGACCAGCGCCAAGGAACGCAAGGGAGCGACGCATGCGATGGGCCACCAGCCCAGACCAT